GATAGTAGAAATTTCGAAAAAATCGGTATGCGGTAAATGTGTCATTTTAAGGATAATATGTGTATGACCAATGTCAAAATAAACTTCAATAACTTCAGGTTAATGCAAGTATTTCATAATTAACCCAAAATCATTCCAATATACTATCATGGTGGATGATATGGTTCATAGTAGAGTATGACTGTTTAACTAAACTAGGTAGTTAAAGGGGAGGAATACAGCAAAAGTTAGGCAATTTGTCAGAACATTTGGTGAACCAGTATAATATGTTGAAGATATGTTAACCCATCACATTGTTTCTTTTTAGGAGAGTTATAGTTTCCAATTCATGGATTGTTGTATTTACTGTTGTTGTTTTTTAATTTGACAACACGTAGTCAAAATTGAACATTCAATTTTTTTTCTGAATTTCTCCTTTCTCAGTTCAATCTTAGGTCTTATTATTTTTTCATATTATTCCCGACAAGTAATTGACCAGAAGTGCATCAAGTGTCCACCGATAAAAACTGATATTGACTTGGAGCGCGTGATTTTTGTTGAAGGACTGGGTGTTTCTAAAAATAGAATTATGATGTGTCTCCAAACAATGCACCGTCCCACTTCCGAAGCTTTTTTTTTCTCCCAGATTACTAACACTACTGTTTTGTAAAATAATAAAACAATTGAAACCTTTAACTTCGGTCAATACCTGGATTTATCAACCCGAGAAAAGATATATTGACCTCGGAATGCGTCCTCGGTTAATATATCTTTTCCCGGGTTGATAAATTCAGGTATTGACCTCAGCCAAAGGCTATAATTGAATAATATTTCTTTTTTGAATGCATTCATAATATGCAGTCTCTGAATTTGCGAGCTGAAGGCTGGACCGGTTTAGCATCTGTTAAATGTGCATAGTATCCTAGATAATACAGTATTGATGCGACATGAGTACACATACCCGATGTTCTCTTTCCTGCAGGACACACACAATAGTATGCCTTGACAGGATCCTCTGATGCGTGTAGGTCAAACTCTATCCAGACATTGTGATTTGCCTGCGACCTGTGGCGAGAGTGTATTTGGCCTCGGAGAAGGTCATCAGCATGTTGGTACACCCATATCTCATAATCACCCCCATCCGTCTGATGTTCTGTGATATAGTCAGGTGCCAGCTTCAGCTGATATGTACCACAAGCCAAAATCGCATTGACCTGGAGATATTGACGATTTATTTTGACATTGGTCATACAACATATTATCCTTAAGATGACACATTTACCCATACAATATATTATCCTTAAGATGACACATTTACCGCATACCGATTTTTTCGAAATTTCTACTATCGTCGGTCAACATAATGTGCCAAATGATATCCAAAGTATGGTGGTGTACACAAACCGGAAATATGTCTATCACTTCCTTAAAGATGCGAAACAACTAAAAATGTACATAACATACCAAACGTTTATGTGTGTGAGACTGCATAACTTTTTTATTTTGTAACATCTAGCTTTATAATTGGGCTCATCATGAGCAGCAGATCTTATTGATGAAAATTTGATCAGTTGCGATAATAAATTGGTGCGACATATTGTTAAATTATCAAACATGACTATAGATCATAAGGTTGTTAGATTTTATTTGGAAATAGAGGTTGCTACAATTTGACATTTATATGACAAATTTACCGGTTCTCAAATTTTCTGAAATTTTCACTCTTATCTCAACATAATGCACCAAATAATATTAAAAGATTTTTGGTGTACAAGAACCGGAAATTGGTGTTTTACTTCCGTTATACAATTCATGTAGCAAAAACGTGTATGAAAATACCAACATTTTTAGAGTTTAAGATTTTATAAAAAAAAAATTGTGCAATTTTTTGTAACATATTTGAGTTCATAATTTGCAGCAGATCCTACTTTAAATAATATAATATTATTTGATAGCGTAAAACATTGTTTTGATAGTTTTTTGGACAAAAAAGTGAACCCTATCGTACACCTTTGGAAGGCATCACTAAATAGTTCATAGCACAGGCCCTGGGGACCTTTTTCATTTTTTAAAAATATCTCATGGGTCGTGTCTTAGGGAGCTACAAATATAACCCAGTAATGGTTAAATTGCTTTGTGGGCAAAATTCTTTTTTTCCTGTAACAGGTCCTTTGACGGGAGTATTATGGTATGGGGTTGTCTATCCGTCGTCCGGCGTATACTTTTGTTTGTCCAGCAATCTCCTCCTACATTTTTCGACCAATCTCTTCGAAACTTGGTATACATTATAATCATGATATGAAGTTGTGTCTCCCTTAAAAGAATTTTGATTCGACAATTTATCTAAAAGGTATTGCCCTTTGCTTATTTCAGTATTTGATTTTTGTCCGGCAATCTCATCCTACATTTTTCGACTGATCTCTTTGAAACTTGGTATACATTATCATCATGATATGAAGTTGTGTCTCCCTTAAGGTTATAGAAGTGTATTGATAAACGGAAATAGGAAGTACATCCCTAGTTGAAAATCCAATGTAGGGAGACAGTATCACAATTTCCGCATATTCTAATATTTAATATTAAACTGATGAATATTGTATGTTTATTATTGACAGAACAGTGTGTTCTCACAAATATTAAAGTATTTCAAAGCAATCCAGGCATTAATTCAGGTGTTTTTTATATCAATGAGCCACATGTGTCCCTTTTTCTGTACTTCAGGAAACCGGCTACCTATTTCACTACTGTGAAGTTTTTCAAGAAAGATAACTCTTACCTGCAATTACTATGTGTACCAGGTATATGGTTTTATTATAAAATATCAATTTTTAATCCTTTATAGATAATTTATTTGACATAATTTCAGCAAATTTTAAATTGATATACATTAATGCAATACTAATCTATGGCAGTATCATTTTTATTCAACATTTTTTTGGCAAAAAAAAAGTGCCTTTCATTTTTTCAAAAGTCACTCCTTTTTACATAAATTTCCACTTATAATCCTTAAAATTATGACAACCTATATTTTTTTGGTGGCAGAAAATTTTCTTAACTTCAAAGCAATATAACTACAACATTTGAAGAAATTCTACAGAGAAATGGTGACACAATCCTATTACCTTAAAAAAAAATTGATTCAACGATTTTTGCAAAAGTTATTGCCCTTTGTTCATTTCAATATTTGTTTTTTTGTCCGAAGATTTTCTCCTACATTTGTTATAGCATGTCGGCTAACCACTCTTAGAATGATGCAGATCTTATTCCAATGTAAGAAAGTATATAATACTATATGACATTCGATGGGCGTATATTGTTCCGCCCAGGCGGTACTCTTGTTTTCATATGACCCTCAATTGTCTATAAAACTCCCTACACATTAGAAAAGGTCTAACATCTTTGGTGGTATACTGTCTCAATTCTCGGGTACCTGTAAAACTTAATTAAAGATATATTGTAATTCAAGATAAACAATATAAGATTAAATTGCCATTAGATTATTGTATTACATTTACGACATCAGTGTTGTTAAACAAAGACCGACATGTACAGAATCGATACAATATACATCATTAACAATCAGAATACAGTTATGCACAAATAATGTCCCACAGCAAAGACATTATAATATTCCTATACAAATGAACCATGACCCTAATTTTGAGTTTAAAAGTCTTTCATTGACTGCAATTTGATGACTACAGCAAGCTTCAGACCAAATAGTATCCCCTAAAGTATCAGTTCTTGAAAAATTTCTTATATAAACCTGGAACATGGATACCAACCAAAAGTGTATGTTTACTGGCTCTTTGGGTCAGGTGAGCTAAAGGCCAGTTTGGGTAGGTGTCCTCTTCAGCTAGTAAAAGTTTGTTCAATACACCTAGTAGTCATCGGATAATCCAGATTTGATTTAAAACATTTCGCCATCCTCAAATGTTTTACAGCTCAAAAACACTATAAAACATATGTTTTGCAATCTTCAAATACTGACATTTTCAACAGAATTAGCTAGGAGTATAACATCACTTCACTATTAACAGTATAAAGTACCAGAAGGATTAAATCTACAACAAATTCAGCGGAATGGAGTTCTATTTCATTGATAACTTTCACATTTCAGTACTTTGGCAAAAACAAAAATATTCATACTTTTGAGAGATGAACAAGTGGAATATATATTTTTATAGACTGGCATATTACTAATGTCAATGTATTTTCATATTTGATCATTTTTAAATTAATTGTGTTCCTGTTACACAATATGTCGAAGTTACACATTACAATAAATTCTGTAAATGACTTCCTTCAGGATCGGGAAAATGTGCATTTTAGAGACAAGTGGTCCTTATACAAGGGTTTGTTGTAATGAAATTCAAAATAGAATTGCCGCCCTTAATAAACATGTATTTCATTATATTTCACAATCTATTCACAATTCAAATACAGTTCTATGAATACTAAAGATTATCTTCATTACCAGTAATATCTATCCATGAAATATCCTCCGACTTTCAAAACAGAAAGTAAATAAGTAAATTATATCACATTTTATTATATAAATGTTACAAATATACTAATACAGTACTAATGGGCACCGATTTGTATATCATGACCCAAGCATAACATTTCAGCCCTACATTTTTAAACGTGAAAAAGAAAAAGAAGTTTACTGGTTGGTAGACAAAAGTATTCATTTCCATGTTCAATGATTCAGATAAATAAAAATATTGAATCCTTATTATCTTTAAAATCAAAACTCTTGTTAGTAGAATACTATGTGGAAATGATCTTGAATCCTTCCCAAGGCCAGCAAAAATTACTGCTCAGAAAATACAGCGTATACATTTCTTTAAGTAGAAGGGGACTTAATCACAACGTACTCGAGCAACACTTTGGGCCTTTACGTTTAAGCGGAACAACCGGTTTGACCATTTATAAATGTAAAAATTTCGGGTATAAATCCTGGCGGACCTGCAAATGTTTATGCAGGCCTTGCAAGGCTTTGTCAAGACTCGCCTGAAAGCAGCATCAGACTACTAGGTCCGACATTATTTAATAAACGAACAACTGTGGTCCGACCGGTTTGACCGTTTAAACAAATACGGCCCGGTAAGAGGGTTCAATTAAAATGCATATAAAATAAAACATAAACAATAAACACCCATGTGAGGCTTGTATTACTTGAATTCATATTTGACAACACCAAACAACAGATGTTGTGGTTTTCATGTTATTGTCAGATTATTAATTATTTATTTCGTAACAAAAACTATTAAACTAGTATATATTTTCAATGCAAACTTTAAATCCTTAAAAGTTATTTCAAGAAGATTCAGCAGGGAAAAATATTTTTTTAAAGTACAAATGCTTCCATTCGGGTCCCATAAAAATCTAACATTCAAACATTTATAAATACTGATGCGATAAAATTACAACAAATGAGTGATTGACTTAAATTGACAGCATAATCTTAGCTTTTTAGCGCGACATACATATTTGCACCATGACACACCGATCACGATAGTTGTACGCAGACCTAGATGTACTACAAAGTACCAAGAGATATGTATACAGTACCACAACAGTTGTACCATCACATAGATGTGTAATACAAAATGGACATTAAAGATTCCATGTAAAAAGGGCATTTTTATTGATTGTCCCGTCACTTGTTTGTGAGAGAAACGTCATCAATTTTTGAGAAAACGACGTAATTTTCTCACACAGACCAATGACGTAACAATCAATACCTGCTCCCAAGAGAAGATAACTCTGCAATACGCAAAGACGGAATAGGTTATAAAGGATCAAATGCAAATTTTGGCATTTCAGTTAACCACGAGGACAGGAAATCACATACATTTTTTGTAGGTAGACATATATTTCAATGGGTAAGTGTGTGTAAGTGCCCCCTTAGTTACCCATAAAGTCATATTTTCAGCATTCCTTGTTCTAAACTTGAAATGCTGCTACTGCTAATTTTATTTTATGAATAAATTTTGAATCAAAATCAGTTTTTTCTTCACAGATGTTTACATTCTCCATTTTACATATTACAATATGCGAAAAATCTATTGCTCTATAAAATACTCAAGACAATTCCCAGTAAAATAGAAACAGTAGTTTTCTTCTTTAAAACTGTAAAAACAGGGAATATGTGCTATCTTACTGAATTATACCCCCAAGAAAAATCGTGAACACCTGAATCATCTCTTTATCATGTAATCCATGAAAAGATTTTTTTACATATCTTGGTCTTTGAGGAAGTCATCGTTCAAAGTCATAGATACGGTTGCACTAAAAGTGATCTTCCAGTGGAATAAAATACCAGGTAATCTTGAAGAGAAGGCCTCTCACACGAATCTACACACTCACACTTTTTTCACGTTATATCAGGATTTGAGGAATTCATTACAGGTAACAAGTTCACATGCACTGTCATAATCCAAAATGTCCTTGAGGAAGTTCCGAAACTCTCGTAGTATGCTCTTGTCTTCCCGGGAGTTACGCACATAGCGCTTTGAGCGCACCAACTTGTCTGCTAGATAGTGCAACCACAGAATGTTGGAGCGTGGGTGGAATGGTTCCCAATTATTTCTAAAAAATGAAATAAAATTCAATAAACAAGTGAGAAAATAAAAGTTTGTATCTTAAATCACCTGTTTTACACATGGAGTGCACTATCTGGTAAAAGAAAACAATTCAAGGTTTTCATCTTACTTGTTTAGAATGGTGATTGATACTCAATAGTACAGTATTACAGATATTATTTGAATGTATATATATGTTAATAAAGTGGGAACAAATCTGAAAGCCCTACTACTCGGCCAGTATCGTAGGTGACAGATTGGCCTTTCTCAACACAACTACTCGGCCAGTATCGTAGGTGACAGATTGGCCTTTCTCAATACAACTACTCGACCAGTATCGTAGGTGACAGATTGGCCTTTCTCAATACAAATTTGTCCCAGCAATCCTTGGGAGGAAAGTGACTAGATTTTATTGAGGCTCCACTGGATGAGGCTCCACTGGACACGGTTTGATTTTAAATCATACACCTACCATTTTCCATGTTAGAAACATACATATTTCTATTGGTTCTGAACAGACAATATTTCTGTTTTCAGGTGCTTTTTAAAATTTTCTCACAGGCTGTCCTGCTAATACTCTCAAATATTTTCCCATTTCCATATACAGTAAGTGCTAGTATGTAAAACAACTAAAACTGAGTTTATGACACTACCAGGGACCTACTGACAAATTATAAATCATACTAACCCATTGTTTTCTTTCATCTGTCTGTAGATGTCGAACTGTAGATCCCCGGAGCCTTCAAACAGGGTCTCGTCTGTGGACAGGTCATTATACACCACACAGCCGTCTGACAGAATCAAAGTAGGGTCCATTATATACCAGTATGTAATTCAGCACAACAATAACTCACAGTTAGCATTTGTAGTTAAAAATGATATTACTTGACATCTTTTCTTGAATCATTTAGTAGTGTTGGTCTTGTAGGTTTTTCAACATTCCCTGTTACTTTAACTTGTGTACAGCATGTCTATTATTTTGACTGAGTTGATATATCCAAGCGACAAGTGTTTTGTGGAATAGGTTTAATACTAGTTTTGACAACATTTCCATCAAATTATTCAACAGAAAATGTTGACCAATCAAATTTCAACACCCACAGTAAACACACTTAGGATGCTAAATTTTAAACATCTAATGAGTCGTCCTATCAAAACTAAACCTGGTGATTCCCATCACATTTACTCGAGTCATACAGTGATTCGATTAAATATGTGTGAATCATGTTGTCAGTCAAAGTAAATATGAATAATCTTTTACATCTGCTGATGAAGTTTGACTGAAATCAGATATGCTTGCAGACATTATCACATGGAAACCAAAGAGAGATGGATCCAAATTGATGTGTCAAGACCTGCTTTCCTAGAGCAGTAAACACAAATATGGGCAATGTGAAGTCTGTAATCCTCTCTGAAGCTTGAAAGAATTAGTTCTTCTATCCCAGATCATCACACATCCCTACTAACATTCCTAAGCCTAGACAGAATGATGTCTATGTTCCATAAGACAAGTCTCCACTCTGGAAGAGTCTGTAGTTCTGTCCTTAAAGGCGAGATTCCACTGTAGTCCTGACCAAGCTTACCTTTCTTCAGTCTTAACAAAGTAAAGTCTATGAAAATTTGATCTAGAGTTTGCAGAGCTTACTTTTCCTTAGCCTAGACAAAGTAAAGTCTATGAGACAAGTCTCCACCCTGTGGGAGGGTATACTGTAGTCCTTACCTTTCCTCAGTCTAGACAAAGTAAAGTCTATTAGACAAGTCTCCACCCTGTGGGAGGGTATACTGTAGTCCTTACCTTTCCTCAGTCTAGACAAAGTAAAGTCTATTAGACAAGTCTCCACCCTGTGGGAGGGTATACTGTAGTCCTTACCTTTCCTCAGTCTAGACAAAGTAAAGTCTATGAGACAAGTCTCCACCCTGTGGGAGGGTATACTGTAGTCCTTACCTTTCCTCAGTCTAGACAAAGTAAAGTCTATGAGACAAGTCTCCACCCTGTGGGAGGGTATACTGTAGTCCTTACCTTTCCTCAGTCTAGACAAAGTAAAGTCTATGAGACAAGTCTCCACCCTGTGGGAGGGTATACTGTAGTCCTTACCTTTCCTCAGTCTAGACAAAGTAAAGTCTATGAGACAAGTCTCCACCCTGTGGGAGGGTATACTGTAGTCCTTACCTTTCCTCAGTCTAGACAAAGTAAAGTCTATGAGACAAGTCTCCACCCTGTGGGAGGGTATACTGTAGTCCTTACCTTTCCTCAGTCTAGACAAAGTAAAGTCTATGAGACAAGTCTCCACCCTGTGGGAGGGTATACTGTAGTCCTTACCTTTCCTCAGTCTAGACAAAGTAAAGTCTATGAGACAAGTCTCCACCCTGTGGGAGGGTATACTGTAGTCCTTACCTTTCCTCAGTCTAGACAAAGTAAAGTCTATGAGACAAGTCTCCACCCTGTGGGAGGGTATACTGTAGTCCTTACCTTTCCTCAGTCTAGACAAAGTAAAGTCTATGAGACAAGTCTCCACCCTGTGGGAGGGTATACTGTAGTCCTTACCTTTCCTCAGTCTAGACAAAGTAAAGTCTATGAGACAAGTCTCCACCCTGTGGGAGGGTATACTGTAGTCCTTACCTTTCCTCAGTCTAGACAAAGTAAAGTCTATGAGACAAGTCTCCACCCTGTGGGAGGGTATACTGTAGTCCTTACCTTTCCTCAGTCTAGACAAAGTAAAGTCTATGAGACAAGTCTCCACCCTGTGGGAGGGTATACTGTAGTCCTTACCTTTCCTCAGTCTAGACAAAGTAAAGTCTATGAGACAAGTCTCCACCCTGTGGGAGGGTATACTGTAGTCCTTACCTTTCCTCAGTCTAGACAAAGTAAAGTCTATGAGACAAGTCTCCACCCTGTGGGAGGGTATACTGTAGTCCTTACCTTTCCTCAGTCTAGACAAAGTAAAGTCTATGAGACAAGTCTCCACCCTGTGGGAGGGTATACTGTAGTCCTTACCTTTCCTCAGTCTAGACAAAGTAAAGTCTATGAGACAAGTCTCCACCCTGTGGGAGGGTATACTGTAGTCCTTACCTTTCCTCAGTCTAGACAAAGTAAAGTCTATGAGACAAGTCTCCACCCTGTGGGAGGGTATACTGTAGTCCTTACCTTTCCTCAGTCTAGACAAAGTAAAGTCTATGAGACAAGTCTCCACCCTGTGGGAGGGTATACTGTAGTCCTTACCTTTCCTCAGTCTAGACAAAGTAAAGTCTATGAGACAAGTCTCCACCCTGTGGGAGGGTATACTGTAGTCCTTACCTTTCCTGAGTCTAGACAAAGTAAAGTCTATGAGACAAGTCTCCACCCTGTGGGAGGGTATACTGTAGTCCTTACCTTTCCTGAGTCTAGACAAAGTAAAGTCTATGAGACAAGTCTCCACCCTGTGGGAGGGTATACTGTAGTCCTTACCTTTCCTGAGTCTAGACAAAGTAAAGTCTATGAGACAAGTCTCCACCCTGTGGGAGGGTATACTGTAGTCTTGTCCCATCAAACAATAGTGAATCTCCGATGCCTCGGTCCTCTTCACCAAAACATTGCCCCAATGTAAGTCTCGGTGCTCAAATTCCAGTGTCTCCTCTGCAACTGCTAATGAGAACGCTACTTGGGCCAGTGCACTTTTTGCTTCAGAGATGTTCTGAAACTGAGTAACAAATTAAAACAGTGAAAACCAGTGATAGCTTTGATACTTTGTAACATAAGGAAAGTTTTAGAAGCTTTCAGTTGAAATAAACAGTAGCATTATACATTAAAGTGGTATAAATTCAATAACTCCATGAAATATGCTAAGACTTTCAAAACAGAAAGTAAATTACATCACATTTTATTATATAAATGTTACAAATATACTAATACAGTACTGATGGGCACCAATTTTTATATCATGACCCAAGCATAACATTGCCAATGCACAAAAAATGTTTTGATACAGGATGTTAACATGAGTATAATTGACCATAAATCTCCTGTTATTTACGAGGATTCTTAACAATTTTACAATAGATGTTTGCTGATTTTTTTCCCTATAGGCATTATAGGAAATCCAATTCAATACTGAACATCAAGTATATTCTGAGGAAAAAAACAAGATACAACCATCACTTAAACAAGAGAGCCAGGGGCGTGAATACCTCACCTGATCATTACTTAAATTACGCAGAATACAAAGCAAGCATGTCGGGTACAAATTTGTAATGAACATCTTTTAATATTTACCCTTATCCCCAAATTAAGCCTCAGATCTGATATTGGCCATGATCTCTTTGCCTGTAGTGGTCTTACTAACATCAACACTTACTGTTCTTGCCCTCCTGCCAGGTTGGGGTCACACACTTATCTGTACAATGTTGAGTCTTTTTGGCACAAAAGAGATCCCTTATAGAAATATGAGTTTAGATTCTATACACCCATTTTTAGCTCACCTGGTCCAAAAAAACAAGGTGAGCTTATGCCATACCGTGGCGTCCGTGCGTAAGTCAACAATTTCTTCAAACGACTTCTCCTTCTTAACCACTGATTGGAATTTAACTAAATTTGACAGGAAGCATCCCTAGGTGGTGGGGATTCAAAATTGTACAAATAGTGGGTCTGACCCCCCAGGGGGCTGAGGGGCTGGCCCAAACAGGGGCATATTGGGCAATATTGCTATAAACCACTTCTTCTCTATGCACTGGATATCATTCATATTTGGTTGGAAGCATCCATTGGAAGTGGGGATTCAAAATTCTACAAAGGAGGGGTTGACCCCAGGAGCTGAGCCAAAATGGGTTATTAAATAAGGGTAATTTGGCATTATTACTTTCAACAACTTCTTCTCTGGAATTAGGGGTTAGATATCAACCATATTTGGTTGGAAGCATTCTCTGGTGTATGAGGACTTTCGGTACTTTGATTTACACTAAACGAAAAACAAAGCTTACTTTCAGTACTATGGTTTTTATTATCAGGTTTTTTCACAGAGGGCAAATACTGTGAGGTTTAAAAGTAGGTTTATGATGAAAGACCAAATCAGTTCTATAAACTGAAAAGCTTGTCAAATTATTAGCCAACAATTTCAAGTTCTACATTTGGGTTTTTTCACTATCTATAAAAATTTATAGCAGAAGCACAGCCAAACAGTGTTACATACTTTTGCTATAAAAAATACTACTTCCATAAGAATGTATTTTGAGAGAGAAATGCTGGTCTAATATTATGCAGATTGACTTTTAAGCAATGTAGCATATGACCAGCAAATTTACAAAACTATTACCTGACCAGTTATACAGTGATGTCTTCCTCCTTACATATACACTACAATGTCGGTGACTATTACCTGACAAGATTCCAGGTCTCGTCCACCATCAGCAAACTCAAACACAATAAACAGCTGCTCATCATCAAACACATCTGAAACAGGGCAAAGAGAACTAAAACTAAGGCGACTTGCTCCAGCTGACCCTTCTAGAACTAAGTAAAAGTGTCCCCGAATTATGGAATTATACATACACTGTACCGTATTCAACTTCTGTTTTTGACCTATTTAAGTGAGGGAGTTAATACAAAAATGTTTGTCCATTATTCTCTTTGGTGACATTTTGGACTTAACATTTGTTAAAAATGTTGCTTTACTCTGGAGAATTACATGAAAATTGAAAAAGCTGAAATCAGATTGAGAACAAATTGGCATAAATTGCAATGTGCAAAATAATACCTCGTCTTGGAAATTATATACCCAGTTTTATGGAGCTGGATTTAGCTATGTAAAGTACCTGGTTTGTCGTTCTGTGACTGACACTTTTTATCAAACGCTTTCCACTCCTTCAGTAGCTTGGCAGGATACCGTCCCTGTACACATGACACTCTGAAACAAACAACAGGTAAATAAACAACAAGGTTCACGTTCTTAACATTAAAACCCACAAAAGTGATTGGTATTCTACAAAGACAGATATTTACACTTCCATTTTCTTTTTCTTTTTCATGAGAAGATGACTTAATTGAAAAATTATAAAATACTGTATGCCAGTTTCTCACCCTCCATAATGAGGGCATATTTATCATGGCAGCCAACATAAGTATGCAACATATTGATATAGTATGCCCTTCACACATTGTAGTTACGTGTGAAGGGCAAAAGTAACAGTGAGCTAATATAGATAGTATCATAAAGGTTTTACAGTATACAGTATACATACTGTTAGTTAGCAGAGCACATACTAATAAGAAGAAAGGTTTTAAAATGCTAGAGGGCAAAATATTTGATGAGTGAAACCATAAGTTGATAGTAGATATCTAATATTAAAGAGTATAGCAATGAAAAAGTGATCATTTATCAACCTATGTTTTATACCTGAAGAAGGAGATTTTGGGAAAGTTGTTGTCAATATACACAGTAAACACTCTGACCCACCTGTTCACTTGGCAGAAGTTCGGAGTATAGGATTCCTTGAGTAAACGTAACGAACTGAGCTCCCTGAAACCAAAATATTTAAATTTATCAAAAAAATTAGCTACAAAAGATCATTTCATCACTGTCTTTGCATGTTTCACCCGCATATCTGATTGACATTTCCTTCAAATCAATATTTCAAAGCAGCTTCATATCTGGTTAACAAAGCTCATTTTTAAAATTGTAATTTGGTAGCTTTTCACCCCAATAGAAAATTCACTTTTTCTCTTGAAAACTACGAAACATCTAAAATTCTGAATAAAACAAGTCATTTGGATTGATATGTCTCGCCTATGCCCCGCTTTGACCATCAATACACATATCAGAGAAACTAACTTTAACACAAAAACTGAATGAGTTAATGTTGATGGAGATGCTGACAAAGTCAATGGACCATAAAAGATAGGCAGCATCCAGCATTTGATGCTTGGGTTGAGATGTACTACCTAAGATGCATGCATGGTCCAAGTTTGGTTGGTCTAGCACTTATACTTTCAGGGAAACTAACTTAAAACGCAAAAACTTAATGTTGACACCACCGCCAGAAAAGCAACCTTAGTCTCGCTTCTGCTACCTTGTGACGGAGATAAAAAAATTAGTGGATTTTATTGCAATGACCTATTTTACACAAAAAATATTTCATTAAAAACTTTTTATAATGAGAACTGGTGAGATTGACACAATCACCTACCTGGATATTACAATTTCAGGTAGCATTTCACCGAAGGTTTTCTGTGGTTCATCATTGACAGGGAAAGATCCTTCAATGGGAATTACCTAAACGACACAAAATCCATAACAACATAGTTAAGAGAAACATCAAATATATGTCGAGACTGATCAACCTAGCCTTGTTTTTTGGGAGGGTAAGAGGGATATTTTCTCTATCCAGTCACTTTTACCTGAGAATGAAAGTGATTGGGCTAACACACTTGACATTATAAGATAATTTATTTTACATACAAAGGTGCTTCGAGACCAACTGAATAACTTTGCTCTAAAGAACCCTTCAGCATCCAACTTTTGACAAAGACGATTTCAGAAAGAGTATACAAGCAAAACAAATCTTGGTTATTCAGTATAATACTGTTAAACAAATTAAGAAAGACCTTGGTACAAACAGAACACTGACCTTTATGGCTACTGATTTGCCCTTGTTTTGGGTTCGAAACACCTCTCCGTAAACACCCTCTCCCACTTTAGTGCAAGCTGCCATCATTCTAGATATCAAACATAAATAGCATTAAATTAAGTGTACACGTTACATCACCAAAAACTTTGCATATTACTTTGTTGAAAACCTTTAATTATCTGTGATGAACAAACATATTAATGACAATATGTGTGATACCTGAAACCTGACTTTCCCTGTAACTTTCAGCACTGGTAAGTACTATAAACATGTGTCATTTCAGAACAAATTATTAAAGTGTGGTAACAAGTCACAAGATGTAAATTGCTTCAGTTTTTAGAAAGTGATTTTTGTAGAAACTTAAACAATGACTAAATCTTACAGTCACTTAACTTAAAGCCTACTTTTCAGGTTTACATGTCCCAATCTGGACCTAAAATGCCATATGCCACCTTACTAAAATATTTTATCAACATTTTCCAGCAAGATTTCTTTAAAATTATTTCTGCGATAATTTTAAATTAAAGAAACATACATTTTCTATGCCAATTCCATTGAATTCATGTACCGGTAGACCTTTTAATATTATTGAACTGATTTTTTGTTTTGAAAATAAAAATAATTTCCCTACTTAGTACTTACCTACTCATGTCTTGGGCTTGTAAAGGGGAGACAAACAAAATGATATTGCTGTCTGATCTTAACCAAATTTTATGCTTACTGTCAACTTTCCTGACAGGTACACATGTACTACAATATCTGAACTTCCCGAGAATATCTGCTTACCTGTCGGGAATACATGTCCTAAAGGACACATGTGACTCCTGCTGACACACCTGGTAGACCTTGGTGCGAGGGGATTCTTCAATGATGGACTGTGCACATTTTTCAGGAGTTAGCACATCCTGGGGAAAACAGACAGGGCATCAATGAGCAAAGGTATAATATACGAGCCTTTGTATATACCGGTAAGTAATTGTTTCCTTACCATTGACACATGTACATTCCACATAGTAAGCCAAGTGAAAACCTTGACTATAGGCTTATATTACTCTATAGTAACTGCATGTCATAAGTTTTGTCTCTAATTAGAAATTTATCATTGAAACTTGATTATAATTATATTTCATAATAAAAACACATCCATTCTATTACTACTTATAATCATGTACAAATAAACTGCTAAAATTTCAACACTTTAAAAATGCACTTAATAAATAAATTATAAACAGACTTTCATGGTTTTTTTCTATTAAGTGCTACGTATGCATTACTATGAAGTATGAATCGAGTGAGAAACATACTTACAAAAATTGACTCGTTTAAGTCCTGAGGTTTGTCCCTTACTCTGCGTCTCAAGCGAACCTGACTGCGCAGAGGTGTGGTGTTGGTGGTGTCGGCCGTGTGATAAGACGGATCCTGTGACTCACTTTCTGCCGTGTTGTACGAGGAATTGGACATTTGATCCTCTTCTTCTTCCTCCTCAAGCTCTTCCTCCTCCTCCTCATCCAGCTCCTCGTTCTCATCCTCAACTAGATCCTCTTCTTCTTCATCATCAGCATCAACCTCCTTGTATTCCTCAACTTCCTCAGCCAGCATATAATGTGTTGAGTCATTATGTGAACTTTTAGAAGGAATACTGCTGTTTTCATCACTGTCTACATCATCACTATCCTCCTCTACTTCTGCATCTTCTTCTATATCACTAAGAGCGATCTCATCTTCACCCTCAGAGGTCTCACTTTCTTCACTGTTTTCCTCATTATTATCATCAGTCGAACTCTCATCTGTATGTAAACTAATGTCACTAAATAGACTCTTTGAGTTGTCTACCACTATATCCGAGTTTTTCTCCCCTCGCGTACTGCTACGAGTAGACACATGTAAGGACAGAAAACTCTCCCGTAGTCTCACAAGCTGAACCATACAGTCATCTACCGGACTCTTACCTGAACTAGAACCACACGATTTGACTGAACTTTCCAGATTGGAGCGTTGGCCTACGGGGGGTGTAGTAAGTATCCGAGAGCCTTCTACTATACTAGAGATCCCCAGTTTGTCCAAGTCAGTACACGACCCTTCCTGGGATTCTCGTGAATCATTGTCCTCATCCTGGTTTGAGATTGGGCTATTTACAACGTCAATATGAGACAAGTCACTGTCCTTCATTTCCTCAGTAAGTGGTGTACCTGGCTGGAACCTCTTTGCAAAGGGCGTACTTGTCTCTATCTGAAGTTTCGTACCAGACCTAAGATGGCAGGGGGGACTGTTTTGAAAGGATTCTTTCCCACTGACCCGACCTGGGGTACCGGATATCACAAGACTATAATCGTCGAAGTCGCTGAAGTTGTATAGAGAAGGCCCTGACGAGGCGGACGCATTATTACACATGCTGTAATGGTGGAGTGCAGTTATCTGACCCCGCTTTCGTTTTCCATAAGTCTTCGACTCTTTTTCATTCATGTTGCTGCGGTCTCTGAGAGCTCTGCGAGGACGTGAATTGCTGTTGAAGATTCCTTCGCTACATGTACTAGAGGTGCTATCCTGACAACACAAGATGACAAAATACATATTGATACTGCTATAACCATACAATCTGAATGAGTTTTAACCCTTTCACCCCTATGTAACTTTAGTAGACATTACCGTGCGTTGATATGGATCAGTCCATTATTGTCTACAGTGGTGAAAGGGTTAACTGCATGAAACTTCAATGATAAAGGAATGACATGTTATTTGTTTCACAATGCTTGAATAATTAAAATATTCCTGAATAATCTCGACAAGTGGCATACCAACTTATTTAACTTAAAGACAGATCAATATATATAATATACCATACACATTAACAGGATTGAGACATTTACTTTGTTCCAGGGCCATTACATATTTTTTTCGAAGTGTATTTAATACTTACTGGGTATCACGTGCACTTTATGAATGTAGTTTTCCCTAAAAATATTTCACAATATTTCTCTAAATATAGTTGTTGCCAAATGTTTCAAATAGACCTGTCTTATCAAGTCCTAATGTGATTCATCACACCGCTATACATGACTTGTCTCTGTGCCAGGAGTACAGTTTAAGTATGAACACTAACCCCTCCACTGGAGTCCAGCTTCCTCAGGTTCCTCCTCCTCTGTACTGGCTGTGGATTCTCTTTATTCTTGTTGCTACAAAACATGACATCAGTAGTTACTATCACACTAAAATCAGGTACAGTAGGTAATAGTTAACAACTAAACAAAATATAAGCCAGTATTTCCCAACATAATAATATAAGATTCTATCATATGTATGTATAGTATACTCTAGGATAAATTATTTCCATCCAAGGGAACTGAGTTTGGGGCAAAAACTTAAGACCTGTCAAGGTTTTTGAACCTAATTATGTACCCGAGGGATGGGCGCTTCTATCCTACATAACTCACATAGGATAGAGTAATCTTATTAGATTGCTTACCAATTTACAATGTCATATCACTGTCTCTTCATTATGACATCAGGCCCATGTAAGACCGATTTTCCTCAAATGGCTTTTCATCAAATGAAATCTCTAACGTACATGGCCAGGAGAAATAGGAGAAATATATGTAACTCCTGTCTTGAAATTAGCACCTTTATTTTTTTTACGTGCCTTTTATAGTAATAAGAACTTATAACTATAAATATGGTAAATATTGGGATATTTTTGCAGTCATTGAATACAATGAAACCGAGATAAACAAATCACCTAATAAAGACAGTGTTTGTATTTAATACATGGGTTTCATATTTTAAGGGTTACAATCAACTATATTATACACTCATATGAATGGTCACACATGTAACATGCTTTCCATATAGATTATGTTATATTGTGAGGAATCATTTATCAATACATACAAACAAACAACAGGTAAATATTGTCATGTTTAACCTGCTGCTGGCCATGGATAATCAGCTTACAACCAGTGCATTCTATTCTAATAGTGCATACTTGCCAACTCTCCCTATTTTGGAGGCCATGGGAGACTTCCGATTTCGAACCCTAAAATTTAGCATTTTTAACCAGTGAATTTGCTAAACTATTCCTATTTTCTGCTGATTTCATCTGAAAGAACATCTCAAAAGATGCTTTTTGAAAGAGTTATTTTTTCCTAGGGTGTACATATTCATATTTGATGGATGTTATATTTTTCTGACCACACGTAATCTCCCCCACGGAAATTTCAAAAAGTTGACAAGTATTATAGTTTAAATTGGACTTCTGAATTTGATAACACTTCCTATGCCATTTCATCTGATGGATGTATTGATTGGGCGAGAAAGAGTATAGACTATTTTTGGATCTTGAAATTAGTGAAGGCACATGAACATTGTACTGATGAATTTGAAATTTGTTAATTTGTAACAGATGTTATGAAGACCTATAACATATGCAAAGATAAATTCTAGAACTACTGTCCTAATAAAATTAGTTTGTGATTTTTACCTGTTCTTCGTTTTTCTCGGCTGGAACACTGAATCACCCGTACTGTTGTGGGACATGGACAACGAGTCCATACTAGAACTCGTACTGAACACATTCTTCTCTACCTCCTTCTTGCCTAGTGCATTGTTCCATACGTCGGAAGAGATGACACGCTGACGGTGCCGACCATAGGTCTTCACCGTCCTCTCTCCCCTCTTCCCCATGACTGTGGTGTACTTAATTCAGGAGGTGGACCTGAGGACAGAGAGATTGAATTGATTAAACATGCACAAAGTATATTTTGTTTTTTTGGGGGAATTATAGGCAGTCTGCAAACTTAAACTTTCACAAAAACACCGCACAGGGTTGTGTATATGCTGGGTAATACCTCAATGGGAAAAACTAATTACAAAATACTCCCATTTTTATATGTACAGTAGGTCAGTTATATAGTTATTCCTACAAACAGAACTTTGTGAATTAATAAATAAATGTTGACATTTGGATACTACCAACGATCAATATTTTGAGCACTAAATGTGTATTATTGTACCAAATGTGAATATGTTTTCAGAAAGACAGCCTTTTTCTTTGACAATTACTACAAAGCAGTTAACATGATGTGATCTTTTATTTTTTCTGCAAAGCATGACAGAGAGACTCCCACAAACAAGGGATAAACCCTCCAATGATACGAAATAATCCCCAATCTGTTTGTTTATGCAGATCAACCAGTTCACCTTTATTTAAATGGAATATTTCAGGGATAAGCCTGACAGACCTGTAAACGTTTATGCAGGCCTTGGGAGAAGTCTGTCAAGGATCGTCAGAAAGCAACATCAGATCACTTAGTCCGTCTCTATAATTATTCCATAAATGGATAACTGAATCTAGTTCCAAAAGTTAGGAATGGGATAGACGGATTGGCCCTGGTAATTAAGGTAAGGTGATTTGCCAGAAAATGTATGTTCATTATCAGCTTTCAACATTAAGTATAGCTGTTTGGAACACATTTAAATATATAGTCAGATCAGCTATCATTCAAATTATTCTGGGTGGGTAATCCATCAGTACAAGTTTACTGGGGTAGGATTTAATGCGAATGTTGACACGTCAAACCCTTTTTCTTTTTGCCGGTTGACAAGGAGTAGAGAAGATGAAAGTAAGAAGGGAGATAATTTGACTGTAGATGAGGTGATGTGGTTGATCTTCGACACTGTGTTTAACTGTCGACCTTACAAGAAATATGTATGGCAGATTGGTGTTAGTTTTTCTGGAGACGGTCATGACTTTTTCGGATGAAACTCTTTTGTCATCTATCTGCCAAGTTGTCCTTCATTGTGAATCATTGTTGTGTAAGTGTATATAAATCTGTGTCAGTATTAGCCGGAGTTTCCTTTGGCTCGCCCGGTCAGCTGCTGTCCAGGAAGAGTGATGACGATGATGATAACACCAGACTTAGGCATCTCAAAAATGGTATTCAAGATATATAACTTGGCAGCAGATGATAAAGCGGCTGCTGTTAGTCGTACATATGATATATATATATATGGAACTGTCCGATTACAGTACAGGTATGACAAAATGAAAAATCGCAAATCCAGAGTGGGGAATTGAACATTATTCAAGGAGGACATTGTTTTCAATGCTAGATAGCCTACTAGAGACGATATACCGGGTACCACACTGACAGGGTTGTGCATTTTGCATTTGTACTACGGAATCGATCATTTTTCTAATGAAAAGCTATATCTTTTGTAATTATTTAGCAGGCAAACAAAGAATAACATCGGGAACGCCTCTGTTCTTTGGATAATTCATTTTGATTTTCGTTTAGACTTACTTGTTGATGCTAAAATAGAAAGCAATTAGTCGCTTATAAATTGTCACATTTTGAAACTTGTTTACCATGAATCAAATATGGCGCTGGTAGGTTTGAAGAGATGAAAGGAGGAATTTCATTGGCTAAGGAATGGAGCTACTAATACGGTACCCACAAAGCAAAGACGTAATGATTATCCGGAGACGCGGAACGGCCCGTATTTAATTTGTATTGTCAAGTAGTAGCTATATATCAAACTATGATGAATACAGCTTAGTTTAAACATATTTATTGCCAAAATTAGACAAGGGATTAGGCACAAGTTTTAACAACTTATCAACGCCTTCTCCGAATATACATTTTAAATGACATTACAATAATGACAAGTACAAATTTGTTCTGATAAGATGTATTTAAAGCATGGAGTAGACTGTCTTATAAAGAAGAACTTGTAAGGGAAAAGGGACAATCGTTTTTAACATTGCCTTTATGGTATTATAAAAGTTTAACTATAAATCAGAAGTGTGTATTTTATCCTGAATGGTATAGATGTGGAATTACATTTTTTTAATGATTTGATAAAAAAAAATCCCCAGCACATACGTTTTATACACATGATGAATTTAATAACAAATACAATATAAACACAAACTTTCTGCAGTATTATGGTATCCTGTCAGCTCTTAGAGGATATTAATCAAAACAATATTGGGCATAATACCACTGTAGGCTTAGTGTATTCAATGATTCCCCTTAATTTGGATTTTTTTTACAAAAACACTAAAGGAGCTAATGACTTTTATGTAATACTTTCTGGAAAAAAGGTTATTCCAACTGGTAGGAAGAAATGGGGAGAAATATTTGACATTAGGGACAACAAATGGGAAAAAATGTATCAAATCCCATTTCGCACAACTACTAATACAAAACTCCAGTGGCTCCAAGTAAGAATTCTCCATCCTATTTTGACAACAAATATATATCTATGCAAAGCCGGTCTCTCTAATAATCCTTTATGTGTTTTTTGCCATCTAGATGGGGAAACAATTATTAATACATTATGGGAGTGTGCCTTTGTACAAAATTTCCTATACAGTTTTGAAACACTACTAGAAGCTTTAATTATCCCATTTTCTTTTAATAAGGTTCCTTCCTTTTCGGAATAGTGTCACAGTCAGGAATAGGCAACAGACTAGATAACGAAATTTTAATTGTGATCAAACACTATATTTGTAAAACAAGATGCCTTCAAAACACTTTGTCAGTAAATGCTTTAATTAACAGCATAAAAGACCATCATTCTGTACAAAAATATATAGCATGTTGCAAGGGGGATCGTTTTGTAAGAAAACTGGAAAGAGAATGGAAAAAATGGAACCACCTCCTGGAAGAATAAGCCAATATTAAACCATTTGATATCATCAAATCAGTAGATACAATACATCTCCTCCCACATTTTCTCACTTTATATTTTGAAAATACACTGATACACATTCATCTTGCCAGCACACACTAAGTTTTCACACGGACTTTTTTTTGACAGTTATGTCCCTTTTACCATACCTGTATTGAATCCTGCCTGAACTCCAACTTTGTTTTTGTTCCGTTTTTGTAAATTTAAGTTGAAGTTTCTGTCTGAACTTATTATAGTTCATCTTTTTTAAGATATAAATATATTTTGTCGTGAGTATTACCCTAATTTTTCAGCCACTTTTTTTTAGGAAACTTAGTATAATTAACCCAGGGTTAAATTTATATGTCTGTATTTTCTTGCAGTTAAAGCCGAAAGCACCTTACTTACAACTAATACAGAAGATTGTCTTATAATCTTATTCTAAACACAAAGTTCTGTTTATTATCGAGCTGCAGTGTAAAAACCAGATTCTCCTTTTCTTCTTTTTTCTGTTGACTTTCTCGTTTTTTCTTTGCTATTTTTTTTCTCTTCTTTTCTATTCTATCTCTCTCTGTGTTCTCATAAAGGCAATATCTGTGTACATGTGTACCATTACATGTACTGGCGTCTAATATATCAACTGATATAAGTAAGAGTATATATGAGTCGTGTGAGGTATGAATATATAATATGAATTGTTTGAATGTAACTATACCATAAATTGCAAAAAAAACTTGAATAAAAAGAAAATAATAATAAAAATTAGGGATTAGGCACAAGTTATAACAACTTATCAACGCCCTCTCCGAATATACATTTTAAATGACATTACAATAATGACAATAAATATATACAATTGTTATAACAATTTGAACTCAGAATCTCTTGCTGGGTTTAATAAAGTTTTGCACAGATCTAAACATGTTTGAGTTAAGGTCCATGGAAAATTGTGAATTGCCAAACAAAAGAATTTCTAAATTTAACGCAACATTCAAATTAATCAAATTTGAACCAAAATACGTCTTTCGTTTGTAAAAAGGTGACATTCCATAAAATAGTGAAAGACATTCTCACAAGGATGACCACAATTACAAGATGCACTCTCAACAAGGTTAAATCTAAAAAGGTCATAATTAAGGGAACTGCACTGGAGTCGGAGCTTAGTATGCAAACTATTAAGTTCACGATCTCCGATTTTAAAGTAAATAGGTCAGTGGACTTGACTGAAATACAGTTCGTTCAATTCCTACTATTTTCTCAATTTTTCAAACAGTATCAAACCTAGCATATTCGTAATTAGATAAGATACATAAATATCACAGGAAAAACACACATTTTAGAATGAATTTTTTTTAGAGCCTCAGGACCAGGGATATGTAGTGCACTGCACATCCCTGCTCAGGTACAATCATAACACACTAAAAAAAACACAGAACTCCTAATTTCTCTTTTTCCCTTTGGACTAAATTAATTATTATAAAGTGATGGGCTCAAAGAAATGGGATCATCGGCTCCCTAAAATTCAATCGATCATTTCCGGGCCATAGATTAAAAATCAGCTCCATGCTTGAGCTTGAGAACGGTATTATGAATACGGGCCCTGCATTCGCTCCACTTTGCACTATCTACGAAATAAGAAAAACACGTATGCAGAATGCAGAACAGTGAATACGAATTTTGTGTTCATACATGTATCAGTGAGTTTTTATGATGATGTTTTAGACAGCATGTTTATAAAATTATAGTAAACGGAAATGTGTATTTGAAAAAAAAACGTATGCTTCATAAGAGGTCCTTATTTCAAGTACTAAGTGAATGATAGGCAATGGATACCCCAAACTTTCAGGGTTGCAAATATTATACAACACATACAAAAATGTATGATATATAAAGTTCTATATACGCCTACGCCTGTATAATTAAGCCTTAAAAGGTAGTCGTTCCGGTGTGTTAGTTAATCAGTTATATTTCCTCCCAATAAGACTAATAGCTACTACACCCCGGTATAGATTTACCCACGATCACACAAAACGACCCAAAATCACACGCCAAAAACCCATTAACACTTAATGAAAACTTCAGACGCATGATTGAGTTAATAATTTCCAGTAGCCTTGTCATGAGTGAAAAAACCCCGTTAGTGTTATGCTACCAGTTAAAGGGGAAGTGAATCGTGATTTGGAATAAATGCTTCCAACGTTGTGCACGTCATTAAATTAATTGACAATTATAAACAAACATGCATTATATGTATTTTGCTGTGTTACGGTTTTAGGGTTTCAGCGTCTGCTCACTGTACTTTGAATGAACTATATTAAGTGGTGTTTACTCTGTGGGATGTTTCATTAGTTAATATATCGGAGAAAGTAGTATATAATAATCTAAGTATGTGTATGTATACGACGTCAATGGCGATATTTATGTATCGCCATCGACGCTTTCTCACCCCAAACAAAGAAAGACGATTTTCATATTTCATTCCAGCAGAGACGTATATATTACATATACGTCTCATATATATGTACGTCTCTGATTCCCGTAGCAACGTAAACAACAATATAGGTGCAATTCAATGACATGTTGTAGATATATGTATAGTTAATGAACAAACATAAGAATTCACATATAAATATATTACATCATGATAATTACTGATTGTTCTAAATAAAACTATTAAAACATTCAACTGAATATATCGTTATAACATTTGTTACACAGTACCAGTAAATTGATAACAAAAATCATTGAATAATTTATCTCTAATTAAACCGAATTGTTGTAACTTAAAACTACCAATAATGTTGCAAATAGATAAAAAAAAAAATATATATCTAGATATACTAGCACGGAATTAGATTAGAATTTGCTATTTACGTCCGTGATACTAGTTGCTAAACAAGTTACAAAAATATGCTATTTTTAGTCTAAGCATAAACAGAGACATATCATAGAGCCAGTATCATAAATACGCCGTAGCTCGAACATGCGGAAACTGACAGAAATACAACTTTAACTAATTAACTGTCTATGCTATCAAGACTGTTAAAAAATAGCTGAAAGCAATCGTTGAGGTGTTTTTAGTAGTTTTTGGTTAATCGTCTTGCCGCTATGTAAAAGATACCGACTATAGACTTTATCAAACTGATAACTCTCATATGGATTTATATTAAAATTTAAAATTTGTCTCTACAATTCCATGTTAAAATACTGGTTTTACATGAAAATTTATTTCAAGCAAAACTGTAGCATTGATAACCGTGTCGCAACTTTCCAAAACGGTCAATTGTTAGAGGTTTCCGGGAAAATCCGTCTCCGGTTTTTAGAAATCTATTAGAAAGTCCTCTCGCGAGAGTTGTTTGTTAGCGAGATTTCCCAAACGGATGGCGGAAACTTCGAAAACTGTGGATTTGTAAATAGACGGTAACACCAGCATATACATATATTCATGTTGTTTACCATCACTTTATGGTAATTTATTTGAAGTGAACTTTATATGTCTGTGTATCAATTCTTAAATATGTAACCAATAAGCTGAACCATACCCGTTTCCTCGCACTGACTAACATTGTTCGGGTTTGTTGTAAACATAGGCAGCGCGAGCAAGTGCATTCGATGACATGTACTTTAAACCGAAGACAAAGTGGCCCCCACAGTTATTGACCATTACAGTGATAACCCTACAAACGAGTCCCGAGTCCTATACTCATATAATTTAGACTAGACCCGGTAGAATTTCTGGAATACTGAAATTTTACATTTTTGGACTCACTGTTTTAGAAATACAGTTGAAAATAAGATTGCATGTAGATTGATCACTGCAACTGTAATATAATAATATAATTTTTGAACTCACCTTTGTTTGACATATCTAATCATTGTTCCTTTTATATATAATCTCCACTGGATCTAACGTACGACATGAGCGGATGTTCCAATTTCAATTCTATAGTGTGTAGTAGTGAGTGTGGCCAAAATTCCAAATCTGGCATAAATACATTGTAATAGAGTCCAGCTCTTCGCACTGTTCAAACTGTTCTTCCAGTCGTTGTAAGTCTTCGACTTGTGAGACTGTCCTATATCTTGTTGTCATCGATACTTTATGGTATGCGCATATTTGTTGGTGACAAGTTTTAAGAGTTAAAAATTCGTTCACGCTAACGATTTTTAGTGTGTTGATTATATTTTTGTACAGTTAAAATTCCTGATATATATACAGACGTGTTTGGTAGCGAAACAATCTCTTGCTGCCGAGAGCAATTTTAAATGCCTCAGACTTCTTCAATAATGACAATTGGTTGTTTCCCCCAAGCGATTATGTTTAGTGTTAATTGTGGAATTGTCATCTCTCAAAGAAGCAATCGCTTCTTATATCCCCATTATTAGCTCACCTGGCCCCAAGAGCCAAGTGAGCTTATGGCATGGTGCGGCGTCCGGCGTCAACTTTTTACTTTAAACAACTTCTTCTGAATAACCAAGAGGCCCAGGCTGATAATATTTTGCCAGAAGCATGCTGGGATGAAGGGCTACCAAGTTTGTTCAAACGAATGACCTTGACCCACTTTTTAGGTGACAGGGGTCAAATGTCTTAAAATCTTCAAACAACTTCTTCTGAATAACCAAGACGCCCAGGCTGATAATATTTTGCCAGAAGCATGCTGGGATTAAGGGCTACCAAGTTTGTTCAAATGAATGACCTTGACCAACTTTTAAGGTGACAGGGGTCAAATGTCTTAAAATCTTCAAACAACTTCTTTTCAATAATAAATGGCCTAGGGTACTGATATTGGGCCAGTAGCATCCTGGGATGAAGGGCTACCAAGTTGTTTGTTCAAATGAATGACCTTCATATTTTTTCAAGGTCACAGGGGTCAAATATGTTAAAAACCTTTAAGTAATGATATTTGCCAGAAACATGCTGGATTGGAAGACTAAACTCTGTTCAAGCTAATGTCCTTGTTCGACATTCAAGGTCACAGGAATTATATGTTAAATCTTTTAATATATTCTTATGAATCAAACACTGATGTTTTGCCTGTAGCTTTATTTTAGTCCATTTTTAAGATTACAAGTGTGATATTAATACCAGGTGAGATATGCAGGCCCATCGGGCCTCTTGTTTAGCGTGCAGCATGACGGATGCTGTTTTTCTTGAATGTTGCATATAGTGATCATGACTGCATTTGTTTATCATAGATTCACATTTACATGTTCTTGCTATTTGTAGGTAATCATGCCGGAGATGCGAGACATTTTGTCTCCCTTGACAACGCCTAATATTCACAGAACACCGGTGTTTTCTAATATACCTGGTATATCACCCTCCACTAGCCGTAGTCATGTGGGTCTTAAAAGCCCCTCGGGCACCCTGCTGGCAAGTGAACATGATGAGGCTGCAGAAAAGAGAGAGAGACGGAGGTCAAGGGTCATGCAGCTTCAACAGAGGACACTGGAAAGTCCTGTATCTCCTGTAGACAAGTCAGTCTTTTTTATTAAAATACAGCATCAAAGCTTCTAAATTTCTTAAAAATATCTGTAGGTTTATAACTATTAAAAAAAATGCTACTTAATTTATCCTTCTCATATTCATTATTTGATGAATGCTAGACTGAGGGTAATGAAAGAATAAAAAAAATCTAACATTTTCTAAGTTTGCATCCTGCTAGGGTACATATAACGACCATCATATGTCGCCAAATGGCAACACATTTGATGTTTTTACTTAATTTGGCAGAAATTTCAATAAAACCTATTACATAGAAAAATCCATATCCATATATACACATACTTAACATTTCAATTGTATTGTTTCAGACGAAGATCATTGACCTTAAATGGCCTGTCCAGCACACAAATAGCTGAGCACTATGCCAACTGCATCAAACTATCAGCAGAAAATGTAAATATTTAACTGGTTTCTTACAGTTATGAAGTTTTATTCAATAGTGTAAATGTATTCATTTTCCAGACAAACTCGAAAATTTCAAATTGATCAGTTATTTAATCACTCTGATTTGAAAGAAAAAATATGTCACTTCTTAGTCATTTAGATAGGCTAATTGGATGCAGATCAAATGAGTAATTATCATTATCATATCATGCTTTCTCGGTTTGTGTTACACAGAAAATCACATCAAAGAATGCTTTTGGACTCCACCTCATCGACTACATGTCAGATCAGCTCAAGAAAAAGGAACTAGAAAACTTTCAGGTGAAGATTTAGCCATTATATAAACCAAAAAGTCCTTATAATTATAGTTCCTTATAGTTTGTGGGACGTCATCAGCTGTCTGCTGGTTTCTGAGAGCCTTTCAGAAACACTGACTAAATTACATGGTACATGGAAGATGCAGTTGCTTCCTGTTTGATGAATGCACAAGATACATGTTAAAATATTCCTGACTGCTACTCAGGGATCTCCAAACTAATTTTAAACTTGATAGCATTTGGAGATCTTGAAACCGAGAGCAAATTAAAAAAAAATCACAAGTATTTCAGAAACAAATCAGAATCTCACAGGAATTCTACTTGTAACTCACACTACTGTGCCTTCTACAAATATTGACAAAATGGCAGCCGTTACGCAGTAGACAATCTAATATGTCATGTTTTCGAAATCATCACAGTACTTGCAGCATGCTTGCAATTATAATGTCGACATGTTGGAATGTTAACATACTATACCTTTGTGTTATTTCAGGTTGCCAGTACTACACTTGATGCCAGTGCTAAGATTTACGCCGGTAGAGTGGACGCCATCCACACAGAGACATACAAGGTTTTATCTGGCCTCGGACGCAGCTCGGACAAAAACAAACACGGCGACGACCAAGGTACACAACCTCACTTTAACTCATTCACCCCTGAAGACACATTTGAACTTCTCCAATTCATAGATTGGAATAGTTCAGTATGAAATTTCAGGGGTGAATGAGTTAAGTTTGCTAAAATATCTGTATGGGATTTGATGAAAATCAAGCATTATAGTAGGTTTTTAACAAAGAGAAGTCGGTTACGTATATTTGAAGATTTTAGAGAAAAATAATCATCAAATATACAATGCTAAAATACTTGCACTGCTGTAGAATTCTTTTAACATATTTTATTGTAATTCTTGCATAAAGTTGAAAGTAAAATGTTTTAAACTGCAGTTGAATTACGTCAACATAATACAATTACACAAGTCTTTGTCCTGGTTCTGAATCCCCCCAAAAAAATAATTGTCTAAACAGAGGCGGAAGATACCAATGCAGATCCCAATGAACAAGGTACAGAAGATGAAAACAAAAAGAAAAAGAAGAAGGCACGAAAGAAGAACACTGTGGAGGCAAACATTAGAAATATTGACATGAAGGAGAAAGACTTTGAAGCTAAGGTAGGAGAAAGATTTGTTAAGATATTAAGTAAACCTACATCAATATTACATTTCAGACTTAAAAAATATATCATGAAGAACACAGAAAATGTCAATTTTTCAAAACCCTTTATGATTTAATAGTGATTTGTCTGTATGGAAGATTTTATCCCTTCGGTGTATTTTGATAATGCTTATAATAATCCAGTATTCCGTAACTTTAAGAATTCCAGTTTTTAGCCCACCATCATCAGATGGTGGGCTATTCAAATCGCCCTGCATCCGTGGTTTGTCCGTCCTTCCTTAAACAATTCTTGTTAGCGCTATTTATCAGAAAATACTGGAGGGATCTTTCTCAAATTTCACATGAAGGTTATCCATCCCTAGTTATGCATATCATTTTTTGGGACTCATCACAAAACCAAGATGGCCGACAGCCAGCCATCTTCGATTTGAGAATTAAAGTTTGTTAATTCTCAGAAATGATTTGAGGGATTTTTCTCAAATTTGATATGTCGGTTCTACTTGGCCCTAAATTGTGCATGTTTTATTTTGAGAGTGATCATTATTAAAACAAGATGGCCACATGAAGAACTTAACAGATCTTTCTCATATTGCACTGACTTTGAAGGTTGTCTTTTATATACCGCAGTATGAGTTACTTCAAGGTGCATTTACTGTTTCCATGTCTCGATCAAAGAGATAAGAAGAGAAAAGATCAAACTGACATAGAACTAATTAAGATGGTACAATGGTGGGTGCCAAGATCCCTCTGGGATCTCTAGCTTGTTTGAGATATATCTATAATGAAAGTTTCTTTTACGTTTTCAAACTTAAATGTGTTAAAATGTTCTTCTGCATGTTTTCAGGCAGACGCGCTGTTCCAGATAATGTCGGCCACATTTGACGAGGGTGGAATCAGCAGCCTTCTCCTCAACAGTTTACGATGTTTTGACGACCAGCAAGGCCTAGCCCTCGACTCTAGTACACTGATAGGGCTGTGTCCAGAGTTGAGCGAGTGTTCTCAGCATCAGGCCAATGACCTGAGTGAAATAATAGGTATGACAGACTTGGGGCATCTCTACCTTATACAATTTATAATGTTTCTAAATACCGCTAGGACCCAGCAGAAAGTTTGGTAGCCTCTATGACACGATTTGCTGTTGTAGATTATATTCCATCTCAGTGAATGAGGACTTCACATATAACAATAACAACTTTCTTCCACATGTCAGAAGTTTTCACAAGATAAAGCAGTTTTGATATTTTGTATTAAAATCATCAGATTAAAATTTACAGGATGTCATCAGTTTAACTCTAAAAATATTAGTGCACAACAATTGCAATGAAATCTGTGCTGACATTATCGATGACAGAAATGGAACTAACTTTTATCCTTGTCACAGTTTAAGAGTTCACTCTGGAAAAAAGTCCACAGCAATTGAGTTGAAACATGCTGATATATAAATGACAGAAATGGAATTATTTTCTTCTTTTATGAAGATTTCTCCAGAAGGAATGCCTTTAATATCTTTATTCTTAGATTGTTTGAGATAAATCATGACTAAGAATGGAAAAAAAAGCGACCAGTATGTTAGAATTAGAATAGACTGAAAGTTTGTTAATACATCTCATGGATTTATCTAGGCCTTTTTTACTACCTATACTACCCCTTTAATATTTTGTGAAAAAAATCCCCTTTCCTAGTAAAATTTTCATCTTTGGAAATATTTTAATTCACACCAGACATTTTTCATGCAATTATTGTTTGTGAAAGCCAATAGAACGCATATCCATGGGCGCAAAGATAAAAGTATCTCTTTTCATATCGTATTTTTTTTCCCATTATAATATTTTCAGTATCATTTCATCAAAACAAAGCATTTGGTCAAGTTTTAGCCCATAATTCTGTACATGTAGACATGTAACATGCCAGTCATTTCCCCACGTTTTTGCGGAAAGGGTAGTCACTTTTAAAAGCTGGATAAATCCCTGCATCTGATATCTCACTCTACAAAGGTGAAAACATTTTGATATCTGTATTGATTTTTCTCTCAAATGATTTTATGGACATTATTTGTCTGAATATTAGACACCTACACATGATATTACTGATATATTTATATATCAATTAAGAAATAATTATCAACTGTGTGTTCACTTGAAGTGCTTATAAGTGGATACTTTAACAAGAGTAAGCAGTGTCTCAGTTATTGACATTAAAGACAGTTTTTACACAGGGGTGTACTACCCTAATAGCCTGACACCTTGGGATAGTAGATTTCATGTCAGGACTTGTGAAAATTTTAATATTTACTCTGAAAATGTAGGTGAGCTAGTAGAACTTTTTAAAAAATCGGACTGCAGTGTAGTACTCTAAATAGGAAACGTACACCCCTAGTTACACACTGGTACAATAGCATCAGGGTTAATCAACTTGTGTTGTGTGTTCTATCCACAGACCTGTCCCGAGGCCACGATATTGGACCGTTAGAGATGTGTCCGAACTTCTCCACCTTCAACTGGGACGATGCTAATGAGGTACTATTAAATGTTATGTCAGGTGTCTGTTGAAGACAACCATCAATCATAGGATTTGATAAAGTAGAGTGTAGAAGTCCCCAAAGGCAAAACACTGGAAAAGATTGTGTGGATTCAATTTAAAAAACTTTTTTTTAACAGATACAAAATGTTAATAACTTAATCAGATCTTCATCCTATCATGGTAAATGGTAAACTTTGAGAAATTCTATGAAAACAGTGCTTGATTAAGAAATTCTGAGAAATAAGCTAATTGAGAGGTATATGATATTTATTTTTTACAGACATCCATCTTGCCTTCTGGTCCGTCTTCTCAGGCGTTTGATATTGATGCTGAGCCTGAGCCAATACCAGACATGGACGAGGACCACAACGATGACCTACCACCTGACATGGGTGGCCTTGACATGGAAGACATCGGCAACGCAGGTAAGCTGTCAAACTCTGTCCTTGTTAGCTCTGTTGATCTTGGTAATGTAGCAAACCTGTCATAGACTTGGTAACTCGGGTAGGTTGTCTTCATGAAATGTTATAACCATGGTAATTTGCCTGAATCATGACAACCAATGTAAGATAGGAGTAGTTTAAAAGTTGATTACATTTCAGGGATGAAAAAATAAAGTGTAGACATTTTTGCAAACCCACAGATCAAGAAGCTGCTCAGAAATGTGACATGATCTGGACAGCGTACATGAATGCTTGTTGAAAACAAAAATCATATATTATATCTTTACAGATATATCATGTTGTTTTCAGAAGTGTTTTTGTAGCAACTTTGAATTAATATTTGGTTGCCAAGACATTTTGGTTTCATTGTCAGTATAAAGTTGTAGATATATATATATCCAAAACACTATTTTAGTGTTTGGATAATACTGCCCGCAGTATTAGAATACTATTGGGCGAAATGTCTCTATGATTTTTGACAGCTGACTTAACTGTTTTGGCCTACTGTGGCTTTGTGAGTTGATTTCAGCGATTTAGAGTCGAGACACCGGCCATTTACACTCTTTGCTTGACAAAGGAAAGATGTTTTTGAAACCTCGCAAAATATTTTTTCTATTCCTGTTTGTGTTCAAAGTAAGCTTATTAGCCTTCACTGTTTTAGTGGATTATGAGTGTTCAATACTTCCATTGAAGTGTAATTCACTACTGATCATAATGGTTTCATTATTATCTGTAGATTCTGACACAAGCCACTGTGAAGGAGATGAGGCACCAGGCCAAGGCATATCTATAGGAGACGGCAAGGCTGCACAGCTCATGGACACTGTTATGAAGGACCTCTCGTAAGGATACAAAATAATCTTTAAATGTTTGGTTGTTAACAGATGGAGAATGGTGGTATGTTGCACACTTAGCTGCCTGTAACTAGTCCCCTACCAGTTGCCTTGCAATACTTTGTTTTTTGGGGTTTTTTGTAATTCCTCACACAAATATGTTGTGCCAAAGCCCATAGACAAATCTGAAAACGAGTGTCCATGTTGGTGATAAGTTGATAACACACAATATTGAATTGACTTCTTCATTCTCATCAATATAAATGGAATAAGAACACTTAACACGCTGTGATTTATTGGTTGTACTACAGGAAAGGATCGACAGGTACATTGATGCAGGTTTTAGCCGCCGAGCCGTCAGACTACTCCTTCTTCAACAAGACATTACTGAGAACGTGGGCTGGACCAGAACACTGGAAAAAGGGACCTGTGAATAGAGGTTGTTAGATCACAGAATTTCGTCAAACATGAGGATAAAGCACAAGGCTGAACAGTTATTGATGTCAAATGTCTTCAGTTAATATTAAAGCCTTAATTAGGTTTTCTGGAATATTTTTTTTTTACCCGAAATAAAATACTTCAAACTGTTGCCAGATTTTAGACATGTCAGAACATCAGGTTTTTGTTTTAACATATTATTTAAAATGGTAAATAAGGGTGACTAGTGCTCTCATTTGTTCTTTATTGTGAATTACACCAGCTTGTTTAATGTCGATGAATGATCTTTCTTGTGAAAGAAATGAAAAGTCAATTTTAAGATTTTTGTTTTGTTATTACTTCCAGATCTCTCAAAAGGCAAAGATGGCACAGACAAGACTCAGAAGAAGGCAAAGAAGCCTGTTTTTAAGATAGACTATGACCAGGAAATAGACTTTGAATTACAATTTGTGCCTTCAAAATCAGTCACTCTGACCAAGGCAACGTTAACCAAGAACAGCAAAAACAAGAAAACCCTTCCTAAATACCTTCACTACGAGACCGACAAACTCTTCAGACTGTTCGTGAAACCCAAACTCATGGTAGGTTTATCATACATGGTGTAGCTCAGGCAATTGTTTTAAAACATCCTTTAGGGCTATTTCCGGTGGGAATATATCGGGGTATAAAGGGACATGTTAAGTAGTGATGTATTGGATGCAGGTCTGAAATGTTTGCTGTAATATGTAGTGAGGACAAGCAGGTAAATATATCCTGGTTGATAGAGGCCAGCAATGGCTGCTTCCCTCCCTCGTGTATATTTAAAGTCCCACAAATCTTAAAGAGACAATTAGGGAAGTGGCTGGTTTCTTTCTGCAGATATTTGTAAGTATTTAACAAATATTGACAAAATCATATGTGCCTGTATGATGCCATCATTTACTTTAAAATCATTTTTTGATGTCATGTAAATGTAGAAGTTTTCCGTTTGCTTGCCTTCTTGGGTGTTTCGAAACTGATAGTAAACTTGATGGCATAGTGATCCCGAAGTTGAGGGCAAAATTAAAGAACAATGGCAGCCCCCATGCAGAAGATAAATCGTCTAAAGTGCTGAATTCACAATAACACGCATCACATAGTCACATTAAACTTATTCAACTGTACAATTCTTCATGATGTTCAAATATGATATGTTATTCTGTTATTCTACCTAAATGTATAACTGTCATGCTGTCTCCGGGGACCCTTACCAAACATACATCCATGCGAAACTATTACATCATTAATTGTTGCCATTACTGATGATCAGCAACATGAACATATATTAATTGTTATTCTTTTATTTACTCGCCCGACATTAATCAGGTGGTTCTTGAATATTAAACAGTACAAACCAATGACTCAGATAATCTGTTGATAAATGGTTATTAGCTGTCTGGAAACAATTGATCCCAAAACACTACCACACATTGAAAATTGACAGAATCCAGTTGTGCATCATTTTGTCTGGGACATACCAAATATGCTCTGTCGGCTACTTTTACTGAATTTTGTATGAGAGTATCTCAAAGATGGTCAGGTGGCAAAGTGGGTAGCACACTTTCATGTTCAACAAGACGACCAGGGTTTATTTCTCTGGTCGAACTTGAAAAGGTTTAGGGCCATCTGCCAGTTATTTGTTTTCATGAATTTTACCACGAAATTTGGATGGTTCCTTTACCAAAAATTGGATATTATTCGGAAAATCTACGATAACGTGTGAAATTTCCATTTGCCTTGCCTTGTTTCTTTTTAACATATTGTTTTGAAAATGAATATTTCTCTTTTATTAATATCTGTTGGATTATTTTGCTGCCCATAGTTGATTTCTGTGTGGTTAGGCACTAATATAGCTAAAATAAATGAACTCTTACCTTCTTGTTTCTGCAGCAAAACATCATATCCTTAATTAGTTACTTGAAATCTGAAAGAGACTGAAGTGTGGACTTTTGTTTTTATTTACAGATTAAAAGACAAAACACATCTTCAGACAGTATGGATGATGTTATTGAAAACTATGACTACGAAAACGTGAATGACCGAGAAAACTTCTGCCCTAGAGATTTAGAAGTAAGTATAAGAAGGGAAGAAGTTACCCTGACATATAATTTGAACGGTCAGTGATCATTTGCATATTGTGGATATACACATCTTAATGCTTATATGCTTAATCAACATTTAAGAACTGTTTACGACACTGGTAAGACCTCATTTGAAGATATGTGAATAATAGAGAAATGTACAATAAAGAGTAACCAGACTTACCTAGATATAAAGAACTTCTATATAGAATGACTTACTGGAGAAGCTGCAACTCTAAACATAAAAGTACTACAACATGGCAGGTCACTTCATCACAAATTGTTTGACTAACTGACAAATAATTTGATAGAAACAAATATTTCCTTCCTATTAGCTTTTGATAATAATGAGGGGACTTGCTGATACAATTGCAAGATAGGTAAAAAAAAATAACCAATATGGTTTATGATATACAAACATTTTGTATTTGATTCCAAGTGCTATGCTCATATATTTTTTACTTATTTCATTTAAAATCTTATATTATTAAAATGTATATTGTTTAAATATTTGTCATTTACTTTACCATGAAATAAAAAAGAAATAGTTTCATTGACTCAACCTGACTAAATATTTTATTATTTCCAATCACTTCACATCTGACCATCACAAAACACTGCACTAATTTGTAATTTTCATATTAATGCTGAAATAACACAAAATCTAAATTTCATACAATATTACAGGGCAACCATGATGATGAGGACGCTGACAGCCAGATGGGAGAGTTTGACTTTACAGCCGGGGGCAGTGAGTTTAGCCAGTCACAGGATTCCCAAGACTTCGGATCCCAACCTGACCAGATGGATGGAACGATGCTTATTGGGGACAAACTTGTGGCCCAGCCTCATAAGGTAAGATGTGGCCTTACCATAACAAGTAACACAGATTATGTCTTATAAGGTTTCATCAGCATCAAAGACGAAACTACTGCCCAGGAAAGTGATGTCAGATTTCGTAGGGGACAGGCACATCACCTCTCAACATATATGGCAGAGGGACACTCAGAATTCTTCTCGTTCGATAACAAAAAACAAAAAACACCTGTTTTGAGACATTGTATCTATAAAAATGGGGACAAAGGCAAAGAAGGATATGTGTGTATGGCCATCCTCAAAAAAAGTGGCAAAAAACATAATCTTTGATGAAAACATCCAACAGTAAATATGCTTGCTCCGAATATACCATCTCCATGTACAACTTGAAATTACTAGTTACACTAATAGTAGTTCTTTTTAAGCATATGTGAATAGGTTAATATTTTACCATGTAATCATTCAACCATCTATTAATTTTTTAAATCAACTACCTATTTATTGGTGAGAACACTGACAATTGAAACCACTAAGTAGTGCACTTAACAGCCAACTGCCTCACTGTTTATCTGATTATCAAGCCGAGGGATATCTATAAATCGATGGTCACATCATTGAAGACGGATCTGTTTGTTATATTAGATATTAATGACATGTATGGAAGATTAATTTGCTGATTGAGAGACCGGAACATACTCCGATATCACACTGATAACCCAACCAACTTAATTGTATTTCATGTCATACAATCAATAATATACTGCATACTGGGATATTTTCAACCTTCTAAGGTGAAATCCATTTTCGTCTAATAATAAATTCACTCTTCACATTTAATTACTATGTGTAATATTTTTTACAAATATTCACTGTAATGATGGATTCATCCTCATTTCGGAGGGCAAAAATGGGGGAAATTAAATTGCAGCAAAAATGTCATGGAATACACTATTTGACTTCAGCACTGCTTACTGGGTGTGTAATGTTTGCATTGCATTGATAAACAAATATTTATTTAAACTGGAGTATTTATAATGTGTTTCTATGACAGGTGACAAAAATAGATATATCCTACGCCAAAACAGCTAAGAAACTCGACGTGAAGAGACTGAAGTCGACCATGTGGGATATCATGATACAGGAAACTGTCAAGGTAAGATTGGCATGTTTGTCTTAGATCAAATCTATTAACAGCAAAGCCCAGGGGACCTCTTCGTAATAAATTCACTTAATTCATTTACCCCTGAAATTTCATAATGAACTATTCCAGCCTTTGAATTGGAAGAGTTCAAATGTGTCTGCAGGGGTGAATGAGTTAATTTAAGTTATATTACTACCATATATATCAGAGGATTGATATGAGGTCATGATTATTTTGCTATCTAAAGTCATTAAAAATTGAAGCTTGAATTCTGTCTGGAGCTGACAAATATATTGTGTGTGCTTGTTTAATATAACAAGCATTATTTAGTAAGAATCATTGCTATCTAGATGTCACCATTATGATATATAAACGATGATGTCAACCAAACTTTTCATTTGATCTTTAGTTATGACACAGCTTTGATTGTTACAATAGTAGATTGATGAACTATATAGAAATATTAGGTAGTACCGGTACTTCAGAAATCCTTGTCATTTGAGCTATTGATTCCAAGCTGTTCACAATCTTATTGGAAGTGAAGTTTCAGTAGTTCATAGTGTGCGATGCTGGACAGTCCGCTTTAGGTAACGTTGTGAATAGCTTTGAATTGTTTAAATGGTAATGTAAAAATTTAGTGGTATTTCATTGTCATGCCAGTATACAAATAATTATGATCTAGATGAATTTTTGCATCCTTTTTGCTTCAAATTAGTATAAATGTATTATGTCAATATCACGGCATATGTCATTAGACTGAACAGCTCATTTAGTAACATAGTTGTTACTTTAGTGTGAAGAAGCTGCTATGATTTTGAGGGTTGAAGTCCTGGATTTTGAACTGTTGAATATTTTCTCAGGTAATAAAAGAAAAAAACAGCGGTAGTGAAATAATTTCTTACGTATGTTACCAGTAATAAATAAAGTATGATATCAATTATAAGCAGTGAAAGACACATTACTGCAAGTAATATATTATATAAACCGAAATATTACTATTTTAGTTTTTCGAGACCTACGTCAGCGCAGTTGTACAATCATCCTTAAGATGTGACCTTAACGGTATTGGATGACTGAACACGTCTCCTAAATCAATAGGTCGTTCAGTGTAATTCACGATTCGGTTGACATGAAGTTCCATGTTCATGAATTAATCAATACGAAGATTTGATAGATAAAAATTAATAATGCACTGAACATTTCATACTTTTCTCTTTGCTGACTGATATACACATGCTGATAACAATTCTATAGAAAAGAAATGTGATGTTTTCCCATATCTTTTTTGTTGTGTTTGATCACATCTTTCGGAGATGAATGTGTCATGCCTGGTTCTTTTAACTCTATTTAAAAACGTTTCTATTTGAAACATGGAGTTTATATACACATGTATATTCATGTGAGTGTTATCCCAAGATAATTAACGTTTGGTACCATACATATGAATTCAAAAGATTAAAGTCATTTTAGATAACAAATCTTTTGTAACCTGTTAAGCTCCCCTGACTTGATCCAGATCACCTGAGTACCAATATCTACCCTACTGTCTTAGCATCAGTGTAGTAAACGTGGCTATTGATTTGTGTGCCTCATGTTAATTACAAAGTCATTAAAAATAGATCATGTTTTGAGAAAAAGCAAAGTCAATATTATTAGATTAATTGTTTTTTGTTGGTAATACAAAAACATTGTCTTTGCAAAAAATACTGGGCACAGATATTTGTATTGGCTTTATGACACTTTGGTAAGTATAGGAGTAGGGTGCAAGTTAGTACAACCAATTTTATTTCTTTATTTTTTTAATTTCTCTACAATAGCTAGGTATGTTAGCGTACCTGCTATTCTTTCCTAAAATTTTAGCCTAGGGCTTTATAGTGGTTTCCTAAAAAAAGAAACCCAAACTCTTAATTCTATTTACTCAAAATGAGGCCTAATAACAAAGAAAGTGTCATGTGCTCATTCTGTACTTGTTAGCAAAGGATGGTGTAATGTATATTCATGAATGTAAATTATTAACTGTTACATGTGTTAACAGCACAATAACAGTAGTAGTCAAATGTGACGGGTGAAATTAACACTGGGCGGAAATTGGTTTCGTGGGCGGATGGCGTAACTTTGACAGGGCAATAATTTCCTAATATACAGTTTTGTTACGTGTATAATGTTAATCAGGGTTTCTTCACTACTAGATCAGATGTCCTAGAAGTTCATGGTATGGACGCCCTCACATACATATACATTTTATATGGTCTTGAGTAGTGTTCTATTCCCTGTAGACTAGGTCTGTTAATAAATTAATATATCCAATAAGTTCTTTAGTGTAAAACAGGGGGAAAACTAGAATTATATACAAATAAAAACAAACTTAGTCAGCTGAAACCTATGTAAATTTTTAGCAAATATTTTGTATCTTTAGTTATTTGTTATTTTTAGCTCACCTGGCACAAAGTGCATTTAAGCTTATCTGTCTTGTCTATCCAATATCAATACTTTTAGCTCACCTGGCTCAATGAGAGTTTTTTTCTGTAGCTCCAAAGGCCTAGAGTTGTGATAAATGCCCAACAGCATGCTGGCACGGAACATTACACATTTTGCCAAAAAAAATAATGACCTATACATTTCTTCAAGGTCATGTTCACAGGAGTGAAATTTGTTAAACACCTCAAACACCCTTTTTAGTCATAATGTATGTAGCATACTGGGTATAACTGCTAAAAAAATATGATAAGGAAATGCCTTTGAACTGTTTTAAAGGTCATAGGGGTCAATCTCTTAAAACACTCAGGACAGTTGCTTCTGAAGTATCAAGAGGCCTAGAGTCATGATAAATAGCCAAGAGTTTGCTTGTAATGAGTGCTTCAGCATTTTAGAAAAGAAATTGATGTAATCAAAACTCAAGGTCACAGGGGTCAAATCTTTCAAAACACACAAAGAGCGTTTCCGTAGAGGCCTGCTCTAAATATGAAACAGTGTAAGTGTAAAAACAAAATGAAATGCCAAACTTTATTGTGATGTGTGGTGATATAAATGTCTTTCAAATATGATATATCGGGATACACATTTAAGTCATGATGAACAGCACGGCCCTATGACTTACTTCCAATATCATTTGAAATGTACTAAAATTTCAAACCACTCCTAAAATTCCACTATAGTTGATTTAGGATAAATCTGCTTTAGTCCGATTCTTGTTTATATATAATTTGATTTTTTTCCCAGCCTCCCGTAGAAGCTGAAGCTGCAGACAAACCTGAAGTGGATGAGAACACAAATTCCTCCACAGATCTGGAAATGAAGGGCACATGTACTTTCCAGGAGCTACTCGATATCCTGCCTGACAAAGTGTCGAGTCAGACTGCCAAGAATCTCAGTGTCCCCATAGCCTTCGCCTGTCTCCTCCACCTCGCCAACGAAAAGGTAGTGACAGCTGGACGCTAACCTATATAGAAACACCAGTTTCGCTATAACCTGATGCTATTCTTAATGTTTTGGCCTGTCTCATAGCAGGAAGGAGAATGTTTAAGATATTGCCATTGATCCCTGCAGCAACCCAGGCTCATCATCTTTCTGCCAGAAACAACGTCACTAAATTATTAATATTTGCCTTTAATTTGGTTAACTGATTTGTCATCATACTGATATGATATACATTTTGAAAATTTTACAGGAGTTATTGCCCTTTTTGCTGGCATTGCTACTGTCGTTCCTTTATTTTATGGAAATGCCTGTAGGGGAATTGAGGTCAAACATTTCCACATTTCTCTAGAGCCTGATCATGAATTGTCAGTTTAACTTGAGTTAATAATATTTTACCTGCGTTGAAGTTATAATTCCCATTTCTCTTTGTTTCAGTGCCTGAAGATAATTTCACTTGATGAAGACCTTGGCAATCTTGTTATATCTCAAGGATTATGATTGTCCTATCTTAGTGGGTTTTAACATTGGAGCATTGCTCTCGTGACCAGGATTAGTTATATCTACTGACTGAGGTTATTGTTTCTCCGCACTGAGATTTGTCAGTTCGTCCGACTAAATTTTGCTGTTTGACCAATTAATAATACACTCCATCAGCCTATGAAGAAAACACTGGACAATTGTGACAGGTTTAGAACGATGTGGCAGCTATATATATTAACTACGGTTCAACTCCAACAGAATTCAACAGACGAAAAGAAAGTTCTTGGAAAATATCTTCATCAGTTATGATCAACTTGTTTTCATAAATTTCTATTATTCATTGACAAATTGACTCTCATATATGTATATGTAATTGTAATAGAATAAGCTCTTTCCTGTATAACTTAACAATGGCTAATATATTTTTGTACATGAAAATTGGTTTTTGGAGAGTGTTATTTAATATCAGGGAGACAAGTAATGTTATTACTGTTGTAGAGACAAAAATCATGATTAAAAAGTTGTAAAAAAATGTGAATGATAATTTTGTTCATAGCCATAAATATGTATATATATTCATTTTCACTATTAACATAGTGTACCATTTTATTCTGCAAAAACCCATGCCTGATAATAAGCCCATCCATTTCTTAAGTAGTGAAGCCAACTCAAAAATATTTCATTCTCAATAAATAAGCCCACCCCCTACTTTCAGTCAGAGATATGTGTCGATCCCCTGGGCATATTGTAGTATAAATATGGTAGTATTAAACCTTCTATTTCGAAGTTTAAGCCCAACTTTTGTATTAGTTTAAGGTTCTCCACTATTAAAAGAGAGAAAATACCGACAAAGGGGGGAAAAGCTTTTCATAAAGTCTTTAGATTTGAAGCTTAAAATTCAGTGTGTAGAAAATGCATTGCTTCCTGTCCCATCTGCAGTTTTCTGATTTTTAGAGGGTGAATGAAATATTCAACAGACATACTCTACAAGATACTGCATTTCTTTGCATTTACTAAGTCATCTAGTACTCTGACATTTTCTACAAGAAAACAAAGAAATTCCTAATTCAAATATATTTTGAATATAAAATATCCTATATTCTTATTTACCAATTTTTAAAAATTAAAGTCATTTTCAGGATTTATTAATGATTCTCTAAAAATGCCTTGATAAACAAATAATTTTATTTTCCTTTTTCAAATGAAATTTGTGTAAGGTTTGCTTCTATTTTCTTGTGAGGTGATGTAAAATCAGGTAAACAGAGCAAGTGAAAGTGTTTGATATTTTATTCCTGTTGATTGTCATGTTATGTTTAGTATTTATATTAATGATAAATTGGTCTAGTTGTTATAGTTGTGAGAATCGTGTTACGTCGCCTCAAACGTAAACTGTACACACAGGATCTTGTTACGTGTTACTAACCATGGTTATAACCTATTTGTTGCTATAAACAGTACCCTTGCCTATTGTAATAGGTTACTTCATTTCATGTTGAGTTACTTATATGCATTGTAAATATTCATTAAACCTCAAGAACTTCTCTGTTGTTAAGTATGATGCTTCTTCTTTCTCTCTTCCCTCTGTCTTCTTCACCTGTCAAATTCTACATGTTCGTCTGAATTTTTGAGGTTCTAGATTATGTTAACTGCAGTAGGTGGTTAAATCCTTTTATATACTGTGAAATCAACAATTTTTGTGGGGTTTTTAATTTCGTTGATTTCTTGAGTAATCTTCATCCACATTTTCATAGGTCCATAAAGTAAATACAACTTTGATGTAAAGCAATTTTCTGTGTGAGTGGTAACTCGTAATCCACGAATTCATGCATACACGAAATGGTGTTTTGTTGGGAAACCTTCAAACTTGGGCCCCCACAAAAACATCTGATTTCACAGTAAGCTCAAATAGGTCAATGTACACCACTGTTTTTTTGTAAAAACATGCTTTCCCTATACTATTACATGTGGGAAAATTAATCTGGGTTGCTCAAGCCTTCAACACAATGTATACTATGTATGTTCTGTAATATGTAGTGTGATTTCAATCCTCAATCTTTCTCTTCTGTCACTCTTAAATCTGTCTCATGTGAGAAAACAAATTAGTCGCTCACACCTTAAGCACTCAGAAGTGCTTACCCACTTAAGCTATACCACATGTATATCAATAGTGTAACTCCTCTTACCATAAACAACTTATACAAATTAAATGTACTTTGTCAAATATATTTTTATGTTAATCAAATAATCAACCATACATTTTGATGTTGATATTGTAGGGTATTCCCATTGCATTTAATGTTTAGCTAACCTTTATTATCACTGGAAACTATCATTTATAAACATTAGTTTCATGACAAAAAACTTAGATTAATATTTTACATGTAAACAAATGACATCTGGATGCTTTTTCAAAGCAAAATCTTTGCAAATAGGTTGATTAACCTGTGACCACTGTTACTAACCTGTGACTCATTAGATTGATATTTGACTTTTCAGACTAATGTGAACCCCACTGACCTTTGAACTTGAAGATTGACCCCACCAACTGACATATGACTTCTCAGACTAATCTTTTAGACTGACCTGTGACCTTTCTGACTGTCCTGTGAATTTTAAGACAGATATGCTGACACATAGCCTTTCAGACAGACATGTGACCCCTCTGACTGACTTGTGACCTTTCAGACAGATATGTGACCCCTCTAACTGACATGTTACCTTTCTGACAGACATTTGACCCAAGACCACAGAGTTCCAGTGTGTAACTACAAACAATAAACAGAAGATGTCAGAAAAAGAATTCAATATTAATCAAATAAAATAAAATAAAACAAAGTCCATATTTGCATGATTGAACAACTCCAATTATAACAAAATGGCATCCAAAATGGAAAGCTGGTGTTGCAAAGCATTGTGACATCATTTCTTGCAAGGGTAATTAGTTATTTGATGTAGGGTACTAGACGTTATGAGACCTGTTGCAGTTAAGGAGGAATACATCATAGATGTCATGGTATTCCTGACCATTATATAAACTGTGTAGGGTCCCTGTGGAGAGAGGAAACATGTCTCCTGAACTCACTAACACATACTCAGAAGTAGTGCTACAATACTGTATTATATAGGTTATACAAACCATGGTGTCACTGAAGTGGTATCAACATTTCCAGTAAATAGTTATTGCATTTTGATGGGAGAAACATAGACTTTGTTAGATCTTTTATTCAAAATGAAATTTTTCGGAAGGTCTACACTGTATAGGGTAATGCATCAGAAATATGAGGTTGACCTCAAGTATCTAGTATTCATATTAATTATCTAGTGTCCATGCAGATTGTCTTGTCCCCATACAGACTGTCTAGTCCCCATACAGACTGTCTAGTGTCCATACAGATTGCGTCCGTACAGATTGTCTTTTGTCACGTATAGATTGTCTTGTGTCCATACAGATTGTCTTGTGTCCATACTGATTGTCTTGTGTCACGTACAGATTGTCTTGTGTCCGTACAGATTGTCTTGTGTCCATACAGATTGGCCTGCATCCGTACAGATTGTCTTGTGTCACGTACAGATTGTCTTGTGTCCATACAGATTGTCTAGTGTCCATACAGATTGTCTTGTGTCCATACAGATTGTCTTGCGTCCGTCCAGATTGTCTTGTGTCACGTACAGATTGTCTTGTGTCCATACTGATTGTCTTGTGTCCGTACAAATTGTCTTGTGGCCGTACAGATTGTCTTGTGTCCATACAGATTGTCTTAGATTGTCTTGTGTCGGTACAGATTGTCTTGTGTCCATATACATGCTCTTGTGTTTATGAACAGACTATTCACCTGTGTATAAACTCTGTGGATAAATAATGGTAACAATAAAACGAAGGTACTGCTGAGTTTGTCTTGTTGTTGTGTTTGTACATTGGTTGTTTACATATAGATATCTGAGCTTTCCTTTCTAAATTGAAAGCAATAACATCTTTTAGAAATATTTTTCACTAGGTACTCAATTAATTTTGAAAGTAAAACCTCAGAAAAATTACAACAACAGGGATAACAAAACACAAACATGAATAGTTGACACGGCACCACTACACATCCCAGACGGCACCAATGACTCCTCGCTCAAATCATTGAAATAAACTATCAGTTTTTCAGAGTTAAAAGTTCCTTCGTGAGTGTTTTGAAAATTTCAATTGACTGAAATATGAGGTCGTACATTTTTTTTATTTATACACAATTCCTAAGTACGTTGGGAGAGGTATTATACGACAACTACAAATAAACAATAATGTGGGGAAATGTACTAGGTGTTGTATAATGGCTACACACACGGTCGTTAAAATGTTAAACAGTTATATGATGATAGGCGGATTGTAGTCATTATTCCCGAGTGAAAACCATGACGTTTATTTGCAATAACCTAATTATCGTTACATGGTTCAACGCCATTGTTTACGCGTCTATTCGGCGGAAATTTGACTGATTGAATAAATGGTAATTATGTATATACAAATTTTAATGTTGAAACGAGAAGTGTCCGTTATCCCAAGGTCGCAGACTCGAAGGAATTAACCCAGTGAGTGTTTGAGAGAAATATAAAATATTTTACATGACAGAAATCATCTAGTCATAATGGTGATTATAGACCTGCTGGAGTGACCCAGATTCAATGAACTAAAACAAAACCACGGTCGCGTCACCGTGGATGTAAGTTTCACTTAGTCAAATACCTCAGATGTATTTTTGCATCGTCAGGCTAACTATTTGTCACTAGACGGATCTTTTGAAGGGATTATCGCGTTAAATCTTTTGAATAGATAATCGGGTTTTAATGAAGCTTAACTGAAGAGCTTGCAATCATAGAATTGTATGTCCGAACTCTCTGGAAGAATAACTTGCGCCAATGAGACCTGACTTTCTTTTCCCGTACCTAGTAATCTCCTGTGTATGTGTCTTCTGTTCTCTAATCATCGCCTGTCACATCTATTGTTTGTCTGTTTGATGCTTCTATCTTCGTTCTTCTTGATTGTATCAATATCGATTGTGTCGTAGCATTATTGTTTCTGTGAATTCTTCTTCACGCATGCAATACTGACATTCATCTTGGCCTTCGCTGTTAGTACCTGGTCTAATCTATCGTCTGCCCAGTAAAAAGAGGGAAAACGGTAATATATATTCCAGCAGAAATTTTGCAATCTTCGAAGTAAGATGAACTTTTAGCTGGTGAAGAATGGGATGGGTTATTTTTGACTAAATAAAATACTTACGTTGGGCCAGCCATGCGTAACGTCTTGGGCTATCACACTAAGAAGATCTTGCTACGCTGAACATGGTGCTCGTTGGTTAAGTGTAGTCATATAGGTCCCTTTGCTACCAGCTAGAAAATTACAAAGATTCGATTGCAAATCCAAAGTTAGGCTGAGAGCTATTGTAATTCTCCAAGGAGGTGAGATTGAACGACAAGTTGTCTGTGGTACTGTTTTTACCACAAGAGGTCGTCATTGACCGCCAAAGGTCTGGAAGGCCACGTGTATACGGCGCTTTGCCATTTACGAGACCGGCATCTGTCAGCCCCCCTCAAAAGAACATTGTTTCCAGTGGTCAAACCATTTGTAGTTTTAAAGGTGTCGTTGCGAAATAATCACCCACAATGGGCTAAAACACACCGACAATGGTTTTAAAGACGACGGAATCACGGTCTGTTCTCGAATGTTTCTCGCATTTATTTGACTTATATGGTGATGAGCATCCTCAATATCCAGGGGTTACGCTCACTTACGCTGACTATGTCATAGCAAACTTGAAGGCACAAAGACAGCTATTCGAGTGGTCTCCGGTTGAAAAACATGACCAATCGCTAGGCTGATACCTGTCCTTTGAAGATTACAAAGGGGCGACACCCGACTTTAAAGCCAGTCAATGTTTACCGTTACGCGATCGCGAGATTCTTTTGATGTACATTCAAGGTGCACACTGAACCTTCAATTTCGCTACGACATATTCAAGGGGTGCTGCGAGCGAAAGTGCGCGTAACCCCTGGATATCGAGGATGTGTGATGAGAGGCAGAGAGAATGGTGACGTCGAGAAGAACGTGCCACTGACTGTTTCGGCAGTGAACATAATAATCATTTGGGCGGCGATAGTGTCATGGTTTGTGGTGGTATTTGCGATAGTAATTTCACCAAGCTGGTTGTCGTTAATGGGAATTTTACTGTGGCACATTATCGAGAAGAAATATTTAGACTGTCGCTGTCCTCTTTTTTTAACGGCGTCGTGGAGCTGGCGCCATTTCCAAACGACAACGTAGCCCCACACACCACTCACGTCAGCAGGACATACATGAGTCATACCATTGTCCAAACGTTATTTGGAATGCATGGGGAACGAACTAGACAGCGTCAAAATACGCCAGGTTACTTATAACAAATTCCTCAAGGGTCGATTTAGGAGTGGAACAAATTTCCTGATGACGTTATGAGACGTTACACACAGTCTATACGATGATACAATCTATTGAAGAACCCGCCCGATATTTAGCTTCTTTTTTTCACTTTGCTCCGTGTCATCAGCCGCAAAAGCACTCGGGTGTGGTGGCCATCTCTTGATCTAATACATTTCTAATGGATAACGTATACTCTGCTGTTCAATATTTATCAAATGTTCCATCTATAGTTATATTTAATGAATAAGCAGATACCGTTCTCTTTTTTGTTGTTGAGTATATAACAAGTACAAGTTTAGTACCCGAGGGGGTTGATTCCACATCGTCATGCCAAAGTTTGTCTATATTGAGCATTGTTGAAGGAGAACCCCAGAACCCTTGGGATGGTGTTTTTGTTGCCTATATCATGGGGAAAATATCAGTACTCAAAAAGATGGCCGTACCATCACGTTGCGATTTCTATTACAATACATTACACGAGAGTGATATATTCTTTCATTATATTGCGTTATGTAGTTTATCATAGAAATCATTATTGGTGAATATCCTTGCACAATTGGTTATAACTCGCAGGTGCTCGGTGGGAATCTTGCCTACTTAACTTCCATGCGACCTACTGCTTATCTGTATTAGAACCAGACCAAATATAATCTGGGATTTACAATTACAACCATAAAATTTGGAAGTTGTATTAATGCTGGTTATGTCATGGAACCAGAGCGTGTTAAGTGTTGTTGGTTTTTTTTTTTATCTCTAGCCAAGTTGTTGGGAGTCTGCTTAGGTAAATGTTCGGCAAGGTTGGTCGGGTGGTTTCCTCCAATTCGAACATCCAAGAACATACACGTATACACAAATTAATTAATGGTCAATTCATAATTAAATATACTTATGTACAAAAATAACATGAAACATAAATTATTAAGACATTGTTCGTCTGTGATCAATTGTAAGCACATTCTAAACAGGGTAATTCATTCTCAGAATAACATGTATTTCATTACAATTTTATCGATGTTACAATTTCATCATTTTATCAATAGAAATAGCACAATTCAATACAAAGTTTTCATAATCTAATTCACATAATGTGTAATGGAGGATACCTCCAAGTAGTATGCTAATTAAATAGGATTCTGACAAGGAGTGCAAGTAAACAAGTAGTTCCATATCAAACTCAGTACTTATAAGGCACTAAAGATTGTCTCTGAGTTTCTCAGTTTTTGTACAATGAAGGACAATGTGTGTAGTAAAGTCAGTGGGTAAAATACCCCAAAAATGACAACTCAATTATATTGATAAATCTTGTTCCTACGCACAACCGCACTACATTATTTATCCTATCCAAGTGCTCAGGGAACTTCAAAGATAATTTCCATAAAGTATGTGGACAAATTGTATCATGGATAAGCACAAATCTTGTAAAATCAGAATCGCTAATCATTCTGTCATACATCATCAGTTCTTCCTGATAGTACACTGCTTTGTGCACAAGTGATTTCCACAATGATTTTTTAATAGTAAAAACAGCGTCTGAAACCTACTTTAGTACAGTATTCTCACAATATCAGGAATAAAACCACCTTGATAAAAATCATACAAACAAAATATAAGATGACGTTTCAGAAATACTGTTTGGGTTAAATATTTTCTATTCATCCCACAAATCGACCAAGGAACAAAAGTTTTCTTCTATCAATGTACGCTTCGATTGATGTCCATCCAATTAGTGAGTTAGCCATATCGGTTCTACACCTAGCACTGAAAACTTGAATAGATTTCACGATACAAAATTGAGCACATTCTAGTTTAATTAATTCTGTTTAAGATAGTTGCCATACACGGTAAGCGATAAGTAAACAGGATAGCGATAAGAAAACGTTTAGCGAAAATGGAAACGACGGGCAAGCGAGAAGTAAACAGGTAATCGATATGTAGACAGTTCAACCATAAAAAACAGGTAAGCGATAAGTAATCAGGTAATCGATAAGTAATCAGGTAAGCGATAAATAAACAGGTAATTCATAGTAAACAGGTAAGCGATAAATAAACAGGTAATCCATAGTAAACAGGTAAGCGAGAAGTAAACAGTTCAACCATAAAAAACAGGTAAGCGATAAGTAATCAGGTAATCGATAAGTAATCAGGTAAGCGATAAGTAAACAGGTAAGCTATAAGTAAACAGGTAAGCTATAAGTAAACAGGTAAGCTATAAATAAACGTCAACTCTCACAAGAGATCCTTCAGTAATGGAAATCAATGACCAATAAATACAGCATTACTGGAAATATGTGTCAATGTCAATGGGAGTAAAAGTCCATCGAAAACTATACTCGTTTACGGAAAGTGTCGAAGGTTCCCGATTGGCGCAAACGTATGCGGAAGTGTTCGCATAAGATACACTTTTATGAAGTTCGAATATACAATGGTATGGAGTAAAGATGAGTTGCTGGTTTAACTTTCATTGAGAAACGTAAATAAATCAGGATGCTCTATTTCACTGAATCAACCCTTGATCCATTAGCAGTCTCCGCCTTTGAAGCTCCGCCCTTTTTCGGTTTCTTGGGCTCGGCGTCGGCCCAACCCTTGGATACCACCGCCCCTTGTGCCCGTGATAAAAGAACTGGCCAAACCAAAGAGTCCATGATTGTGCCTTCTGTCCTGTAGTATTGGTATCTAGAAAGGTCAAAGGCGTAACCTTTCTTTCTCGTGAGGTCAAAGTTCATAGCGGGATCCTGGATACACATGCACCAAGTGACCTCTACACACTTGCTGACATAATCCTTTATCTTTTTGTTATTCTTTATCGTCTGCGTGATGTTCTGTTTTTGGAATTCTTCTACATTATTCACCGTGTATAACTGAAAAGACAACAGAACTTGTAATATTGGGAAATGATTAAAATTCGACATTGATCGGCTCAGTTATTGCATAGTTGATTCGACAATTGTTTGCAGTGTGTGAAGACGGTATCCAGCTATACGCAGATACCATAAGGCCACTGAAGAAACACTTAAAATTAATCGGGAACCGTCGGCACTTTCCGTAAACGAGAAAATACGGAAAGTGCCGACGGTTCCCAATCGACTTTAAAAGTGTCATGTCGTGAAATGGCTTGACCTTGACATGATGGCATGGCACTCCACTAGGTCACAGTATTCTGACAAAACGGTTACCAGGGTTACAAGCAAAACAATGCGAGAAAGAAATAGCAGGTAGAAAAGGCGAAAAGAAAGATCTGCTTGTGTTTCGGTAGGGACAGCACAATATTTTTAATTTCTCCAATGTCCCCTAAGCAGAAGACACAGGGGGCAAATTGATTCTGTAGGATGCCACACATTTCTCACATCAAACTGTAGCCACTGGACCCGGTCGATTACCGGCAACCTGGTGGCTCATTTGCAATAGTATCCGTCTTGAGTTCGAAGGCCACCGGGTTCGAATCCCGGTCTGGCCGTGTATTTTCCCTTTCCTGTTACATTTGGTGCCTGTGACCAAATCTTGTTTAAATTAATAGGTGAATGCTTAACAAGGGGATACCCGAACTTGGGTTGTAAAGAGTGTTGTCTTTGGGGCGAAAACTTAAAAAAAGGAGAGAGGAACGCCAGCGTACCTCAATTGGTAGAGCATCCGTTTAACGTTCGGTGGATCAAAATGGCGAATTTTGCTGAGCAAGTGTGATCTGTCATTCTGAAGGTCACGGTGTCCATAATCTAGAATAATGGCCGTTACGGTAACTATCGACATCCGATATTTCAAAGATCACTGCCTCTCTTACAACATACATATCCCTGCACCTACCTGTGTAATGGCCGCCACTGTGCTATTCCACACCTTACGACGGTAGATCACTGCCTCTCTTAAAACATACATATCCCTGCATCTACCTGTGTAATGGCCGCCACTGTGCTATCCCACACCTTACGACGGTAGATCACTGCTTCTCTTACAACATATCCCTGCACCTACCTGTGTAATGGCCGCCACTGTGCTATCCGACACCTTCCGACGGTAATGGCCGCCACTGTGCTATCCCACACCTTCCGACGGTAGATCACTGCCTCTCTTACAACATATCCCTGCACCTACCTGTGTAATGGCCGCCACTGTGCTATCCGACACCTTACGACGGTAGATCATTGCCTCAATACCGCCAACCGCCTTCACATTGTATCTTGACAAAGGCTGTAAATATCAAGCAGACTTTTATAAGTGAGTACAGAAAACACTGTTAGACATACAAAACAATATTATATGTCGTACGAAAACTGTGTTCAAGAAAAGAACTGATGTCCAGGTGGCGCCACCTGGTGCATACGTAGTACCTCGTAGTTCGTTTACAAAATATGGGCAAATCATGGGGGATAATCATCCGACATTGCGGAACGAACGAACGGCGAGTTTTAACGGCTGTGAGTTTGCATATTTAACGGGCATATGTGTGACATGTATCAACTGACACCACAAGAAACATATAATCTATGCGTTTTTGAAGCGTGTAATTGTTGTAAAGAGTATTTGGGAAGTAGATACTGAGCATCGAAAACAACGTGGGATATTGGTAACAGCAAATGTCAATATCGTGATGATATGGGTATCTGCTGCTGCGAGATCAGGGTAACTGTTCTGCAGACTGTTGCTTAATTTAGAAAAAAAAAACACATATTAATTGAAACCAGGTAATATCTGGACAGTTACTGGGTGTGTACGTCGTGTCCCGAATGGCTCGTCCCAATATCAACGTTACACGAAGGAATGAGACTGACCTGAAGGCTGTATACACATCCTACTCGTTTTACATTCCACTTTTTTCAGATACATTTACATACGCGCACACCAGCAGTGCTGTAATGGAATCTGGTCACACTGAGGTAATAACTAATTAAGTACATTTTATATAAAAAAAAACAGGCAGGGAAGCTGGGTAGGTTGTGCCATGTTTTGCACAAGTGAAACATTTACTTGCCGTTTTACGGCTTCAAAAACGATCGATTATGGCGCAGATACCCATGTCTCTGTCAAAATTGCCGAGTCAGTTACCTATATCATCGCATTCCAGTTACCTATATCATTCCAAAATTAACGATGTCAATACCAGCTTAAGTACACAAATCATTCCAAACATACCACATCAAATTATGTTCATATCGATAGAGGTTTCGATGCGTTATATCACAATGTCGATATTATGCTTAGAAATACGCTAATAGACAGCTGTCAAAACTCACCGTTTATGTCCTCCACCATGTCGGATGAGAGTAACTACAGTTACCCTGATCGGGTTATCCCCCGTGCAAATGCAGACGCATTCGTGAGCGATTTAGCTCATAAATAAGTTTGATGTTCGCCAGGTCTACCTATGATGCATTGTGGGAATTCCGGAAATAGTTATCTATAAAAAACACGCCACGTGACTAATAATTACCCGACCTCCCGTAGACTGCATGAGCACATCGTTCGTTCCCTCTATGATTTTGCTGAGCTGTTCCGCGGACTTTCTCTCGGAATACTTGTATATCTCCTGGAAAATATAAAATATTGATTAGTTTCAATGGGACGGAACGATACAAGGACTTCCAAATTCACGCAAGATTGGATTTTTTGCAATACTTCATGAGTGGTCGCGATGTGTTCAAATGAGATGTTTAGGAATTTTTATTTTAAATATTTAAAGACATTTGATATTATAATGTTGGAGTGGTACTTCTATGATCATTTCAATGCTGGAGTATATATCATAGATATGTACAAAAAACATGACCTGATTGCTCACCACCAAAATACTGAAGAGAAGCTCCGTGCACTTCCGGTACTCCCTACCGGAAGTTTCTAGGACCTGTAGCGCCGCCTCCCACTCGTTGACAAACATCTTCGAGTACAGACGTCCTACCTTCTCTTTATCGTCTGTCAATTGTTCTTTACCTGCTCTTAAAACCAAGGTTAGAATAAATACAGTGTTGTCAATTTCCCATCAAAACGATATAATCTGAAAGCGAAGAAATGTTAACATTTATAATTAGTTAAAAATATGTAGAATACCTGTTTCTCGAGGAAGCAAACACATCGCCGCGTGACCCGGATGTATTGGGCGTCGCCTCACCAAGGCGCCGTCGACAAAGATGAGCCTCGGAAATCCGGTAATCCAGCTCCTTGCTGAGACGGGCTATCTCCTTGTACAAAGCCTCGGTGTTGTCTGGAGGGTCCTGACCGGGTCTGATTGACATTTTACTGGGCTGGGCCCGAGCGGTGATCAGGTCCGGGGTTCCCGCCCAAATCGTTTCCCTGTCGACAAACATCATTCGGAAATGCAACAGACTAGATTGGTAACCGAACTGGAACCCCTTTAGTTCGAATTCTTTGCTCTTATTTCTACTAGCTGACCTTGGAATGACTGGTGATTTACTTTATTAAGTTCATCTCAACACTTCTTAAAGCAAAATTATCTAGACATGGATACTAATCTCTTGTAGGCAAGCTAAGTTAAAACTGTGCATATTTAGCATATAAATAGTTTTAGATCCAATGTTCTCGGATTGACAATGAAGAAAAAAATTGTCAAGGAAAGATCAGAATGGAAATGATTATATATGAAAACAAACTGAGAAATATCGCGACTTTGGATACAATACAATACAATGTATGATAATTCAACCCCAACTAAAGCCACATTCTCGGTTCTTTTTATCTGTCCCTAGACCATGGGAAAGCAAGCATCTCAAATTAACCATAACGTTATAAATACCTCTTATTAAGAACCTGGGAATTCATGCGTTCAATAGATATGAATATTTAAACGGATATTAATGTTGTTCAACCCTAACGTAAGTGTAAGCTACTGCCTACCACTAATCTAGCACATGTAGTCAATATATGTGTACCAGGAATACTGCAACTCAAACGTTAACGGAACGAAAAGGTGACAGGCCAAGAATCGTAACCGGTGCCTTTAGTCTGATGAACGTGACGAAGTAAATATCGTCATAGAAACAACACATAGAAACAAAATATTACTGGCTGTGCTATATGATCCTTTTCAAGTTCTATATTTTACTAACCTGACTTTTTTTGTAGAAATATCAATGCTGTGTACATTCGAGTAATACGTTCTTTTCAGTTTTGTAAAACATTGCATTTTCAAGTTCCCCGGTGAGTTTCTGTATAGACATGTACACACTTTATATCATACACCCGACAACAAAAATAACCCTTCGGTGGCCCCCGTAATACACGTCAAACTAAAATGCTCCGCTGGCTGTGTTACACTGAGGATACTTTTGCGCACAATGGTGAGATAAATGCTGTCTATACGTATTTGTCGACTTCATTTTACGAAACGAAATTCTCCATTCAAAGTAAATCTCGGGTTCTTTCACATTTAGCAAGAAATGCTATACATGCAGGTTCTCAAACGAGTGATAGTTGGTTATCATGACTATCTAACTCGAGTTATTTAATCTTCAAATTGTATAAAGACCCGAGGCTTACCTCCGCATTAAAGCCATTTTGGTCTCTGTGGAGTATAACATATAGATAGAAAGTGTCTTTTACAATTTGAAAATTAACTAACGAGAGTTAGAAAAATGTGATAACTAATCATCACTAATCAAAACCCTATTTTCCCCTTGGAAGATACATCATGTGTGTTTCCAATGGGGGAAGCAATTACCATGGATTATGACGTCACAATAGAAAATGACGTCGAAATGCATTGTTACGTGACGTCATCAATCATAGATTGACCAATGGAATCACGTCGAGTGTGTTACCCACGAGTTGGTAACCAAAGATTAATACCAACATCTAGCAGGTCCTATCCAATGAGTCAGGAGTGAGGAAACCTACAGTGGTTGTGGGAGTGAGGAAACCTACAGTGGTTGTGGGAGTGAGGAAACCTACAGACGTTGTGGGAGTGAGGAAACCTACAGTGGTTGTGGGAGAAATGTACTTACATAAGTTACCTCAGATGGCAACGTGTGGAGACATATTTAGTCATGTGCAATCCACTACAACCTTAGAGTGAGGCGGCACCTTGTATTAATTTTAACATTTAAATATTCATATCTCATGATAGAACTAATGACTTTCCTTGCAATAAATTCTAGAAAAGTTAATTTATTAACAGTTATTTTTTATGTATTTTTTCTTTCCTGTGATATACACACAAAATAAGATCACAAGGATACGGTACATTGTTGAAAGGCGTATAGTTCAGTTGCGTTAACAAGATGATTACAAAAAAACTATTTCTTGTTTGAACATGTATGCACAAGTTGAAACATTGTAACCCCTGTGCACTGAACACGCCTTCTATCACAAACGAATCGTTTATATACATTCTCAGTTTAAGTGGCCATTTGTACCGTACCAATTAACCTTGTAAACAGCATACAACACAAAGCCACCTAAGATTTTCATGTCAAAAACTAATTTCGATCTATTTCTGGGACTTCCAATTGTAATTTGTCAATTAAAACAAAGTAAAGCTCATACATATTCATGTTCACTCTTCTCTCTGGGACGAACGTGACTTCTTCAGCTGATGACTTTTTAACCGGTGCTTGGTTTCGAACCCTAAGTGCAACGGCACACACGACAGACTCCGAAGAAACCGAGTTATGTGAATCCGAGAGGAACGACAGCTTTGATGTTCAATACTATTTCCGCAGAAACGTTTGGACGTCACCTGGCTACTGACGCATTACCATTCGTCAGCTGCATCTGGACAAATGGAACTATTTATCATCCACGAGTCGTAAACAAGTGAGCACATGAAGTACGCTATACAATATCCACTGTTACTGATAAAACCTGCATTGGTATTTGTTACGAAAATTGACAATTTCAACGAGAAATCGGATATCGTTCAGTAAGCTTATGCTGCAGTGCTTCGTTTTACATTTTAATGTCAAACAGGGAACTGTCGGCACCTTCCGTAAACTAGATTTTTGTTTACGTTTGCGGACAGTGCCGACGGTTTCCGATTGTGATTTGAAAAAAAAGTGACATCACCGACTTGAATAGGTATAACATAACTATTAAATGTATATATGAATTAATGATGTCATTACATAACGCCCCACTATTCCCACTGTCTTCGATCTGAAAAAATATCGATATTTTCAATAAATCATTTTGTGACATAGGTCTTGTTTCCATTTAAACTGATAGGTTTATAAGTATTTTTTCACACACTGAGAATCTTTACCACATATGACAAGGGCCTATATAAAATTCGGAGCTAGAGAAAATTGTTTATTTACCAAACAGCTGTACCCATACCGGAATTATTACTTTCGCAGCGAGAACGTTAGTTGGGGTTCATTCCGACGGAATTCATACGATCTTCAAATAAGTATGTTTAAAGGTTTTTATTAATAATGTTTTGTTCACGTCCCACACTAAACCTATACTACGTATGCATACATTATCGTTTATCACCTTCAATCTCATGTGGTCGTGCAAAGGACATCGAAGGATGGTATTAGAGATGGGGCGTGAGCCTAAATACTGCCCTCCAATAGTCTGAGTAAATTGAAAAACGGGTATAGCTGTACATACCAATCAGTTACTCTAGCGTTCGTCATCGGGGATGGCTCCCGAGGAGTTCTGAATGGAGTGGACGTTGCCCCTTGTTTTGGCATGGCAGGAATGATTGTACGAACAACTGTCTCCTGGTATTGGCGGTTTGGATCTCTGTACCCCGACTTCTCCAGGGCCATCCTCAGTTTCGTGTTCTCCAGCCTCAGTCTCTGACAGTCCGAGCAGGGCGGGAAAGTGGTCCGCTCCACCACCACCGCCCGGTACTGGAGGGGAAAGGCAAACCAAATAATCATATGCGTTTACGTATACTATCATCCTGATTAAAATATCAATGTTATACGTATATAATTTAAGAGCATCGTTTGAAAGCGGACTTCGAGTTCGGTACGATACAACGACCGATTCCAGTGGAGAGGTCCTATAGAGGTCCTGTACTGGAAACAAATTCTAAATCTTAGCGAATGGTATATTTACAACCTTTGAAATACGCAATAATATATATATTGCATTCAATAATGTGGACATAATCTAGATTGACTTTTAGACAAAGTGTTTTGTGTTATTCAAACAATTGGTTGTGCATAATAATCTTTAAATTGTGTTCCTATGGCACTTGCCGATGGCGTTGTAAAACACTAATCTGTAAACGTTAATTTTTGTTATGAAATCCATTTCGTTTTACTTTCGAACGAAAGGACCACTGCATAAAATAAGTTATAGCCGTGACTTCATTATTTGATCATAGTGCGATTACCGAGTCTAAATCCAGAATTATTTTAATGTAAACTGTGATACAGAAAGTATAACAAGAGGCACTCGTGGACAGTGAATCAAATTCGATTGGGTATGCATTTTATTTAAAATATGAATTCGTCTTAAAGCCACTGTATCATGTTTTATGTTAATTTCATGCTTATTTTCGTTTCTTCATCAAACTGTCGACGGAGTTGACTTACCTGATCGCGCGGACTTGCTACAAGTTTATTGAACTGCATGGCTGAGGCACGTGACGTCTAGAGAGACCAGTTACCGGAAGTAGTTAACTGGAAACATATATAATACCATTTCTGTTTCCTAGAATTTTAGGATACTTCAACATAGCAGTAAATTCTTACTAAAACCTTCGCCAATAAACACCGGGAAATAGACTTTGACTCATTCGACCCTGAAGACACATTTGAACTCTTCCAATTCAAAGGGAGGAATAGTTCATTATGAAATTTCAGGGGTGAATGAGTTAGTATCAAAGTATTCATAGATAAATTTTACTACAATGAGTTATTTTAATTATTAAAAGCAATGGCTTATTACCAAACAAAAAATATATTCAAATTATGAAAAAATAAATATGACAATTAAACAGAATTTTTCTTCTGTCGGTCCCAGGTTTCAAAAAGATATCATGTCTTTGTTAAAAAGGTTCAAGAATACAAATGCGTTTTTATCTTATAGAACACCAGTACAAACTTAGATATATACACGTGGTCTTTGTGTTTATTTTGACATATGATATTTTCACTAATACTTGAATCATATTTTCGGTCATCTTCGAAAAGGCACCACTCACTAGCGTGCAGAAAACGTAGGAGAGCTTGACCGTGAAACGAGGATCTACCTCGGTATGATAAACATTTATAGATAGCTCAGTACACATAGTAAACGTCATAAGAAAGATAATACCCTACAAACCAACAAACATAAGTTAAAGATCCTACAAATACACAAACTGACTATAGCGTAAGTTAAAATGTCCACACAGTTACGGCTCGTTACGCTCACACATCACCTTATTGGTGCCATGACCTGGGGTTCTAATCTCTGAAAGGACATTTCACTTTTGAATTTGAATTTCTAATTACAAAGTACAGTTACTTTGTTCGCATACTAATATATATGAAGACTTTACCATTTTTGAATGAAATACGTGAACATTTCTTCTCGCAAATACAGCATAAAATGGCATGCTTTATACTGTATAGGAAACATATGTACTTATAAAGTTTTCCGTAAAAAGTGTCTTCCTCTAACGTTTTGCGAATTAATTTGAATATTCTTAAAAAAGAATAAGGCATATTTTTTAATAAATAATCTTCACTTTTATTCGAATTGTTTTAAGTATGTGTTTTCCATATTCTTGCGCACGCCAGCATTTAATAGGATTCTATATGAATAATTAAAAAATAATAATGGTCGTCAAAAAGTCTTGGCCAACAAAAATGTCTTTTATTAACACCATGAAGAAGATCTACACTTTAATAGACATACTAAGTACGCAATTCAAGGTCGAGGACAAGGGTAAAATATCACGGTTTACAAAGACACATTGGTGTGCACGTTAAATTAAAATCTTGTTTTCAACGGCATGCTTATCATAAATCTAGTGACACAGGTTAGATTATAGAAACTTTGTGTACACAACACATACATAGCAAAATATGGCAAAGGGTAACGACTCCCAGAATGTTATTGTGGTGTGAACGATAAAATGCCATTTTTAATATTTGTAAATAACATTTTTAGTTAAGACAATTAGTATACCGATGTTTTTGACAAACATGTTACCAAGGGATTTTTTTGTGTGATTTACACTGAAAAAAAAGAAACTTGTTTCTGATATGACCGGTTATTTTGAAAAAAAATGCTCTGCTTTTTGTTTATTTTGTATTGTATGTTTTAAAAAAGATGGTCTGGTAGCGGCACCGAAAACATTATTTGATTTTCTTTGTCTTGTGAGTTGGATTGAAGTTTTGCTTGACCTAGGATACCTGTTTTATTAACTATGGTGGTTACAAGTGTAAGACTGTTTGAACAAGACGGACAGGTGTCAGAAACAACTGTATACAACAAGTACGTATTCATTAAAAAAAAGGTAAACAAATGTATGTTCAATATAATCTTCATCTAAAACGGTTCTCCCCAGAAGACTCTCTCCTTTGCATTCTTTTAATAATTTGTATATAAATTTCTTTGAATATTAGCCCAAAATATTTAGCAACAGTGAAAAACCGCAATAACGGTAAACAAAAAGTGCAGAGATTTTTTTATTTTTATTATGTTGTTATATTTTATACCAGAGGGACCTGAGAATTTGTTACAGATATATTTGAACCTAAACTAAGGTGTTCAGAGTAATTTCACATGTTTTAGGGGTTTAGATCGACTTTCGGTAAAAAATGACACCCCCAAGGATCCGTATATATGATCATTGGGGGTGTCATTTTTACCGAAAATCGATCTAAACCCCTAAAACATGTAAAATAACATTGAACACCTTAGTTTAGGTCCAAATATAGCTGTAACAAATGCTCAGGTCCCTGTGTTTTATACCTGTCTGTAGGCATTCACCTATATATATTTATCCAATATTTTTTGTAGATACGAGCACTGAAATTAACATCTTTATGACAATCGAGAATATCGAATTCACACAAAAAGTATTAACCTGATATATAACATATCTTTTTAATATACAATGTACCTATGTCAAACTTACATGTTTCCGGTGATACATCCATGCCCAGCTAATGTCCCAATACGTGATGATTTGTTTACAGGACGACATAAGCTTATTTCTTCACTATCTCGGGTCGTCAAACTTGTACCAACATTTTAAAGTCTGACACAAACACTAAACACCCGAAAATTATCGAGTTAAATGTCTTGGTCGACTTAGAACAAAAATATTGACGTTTATAATTTTGTAGCGACCCATAGACTTCGCTGCGTGTCAGCTTACCTATTTAGTATACCAGGTATATATAGGTGCACATTTATTCAGGCCTGTCAAAAGTTACAATTTCAGAAGGGATAATAATTACCATATTTATGTAATATTCTATAGAAAGTTCGATTTCTGCATGAAACGATTTTAGTGTGAAGGGTTTTTATGTCTCTTTAGGTGGTTTAGGTTTCCCAAAACACTTTCTGAATTCAAATGAAGACCTTCGTGTGTATATTCCATTTTGTTATGCTGGGTTATAAAAGCTTAAAGCTTGACATGAACTATATAAGCATGAATAAATTAAGGGTAGTGAATGGTGAGCGACCTTCTTGACAATTAAATGGTGAATCAACGTGTCCTTTGGTTGACGTTTCCCATATATTTTTTGTCTGGAGTTTTGACCGATTTTGAAACAGGAGAATATATGTCCTTTTTATTTTGGTTTGAGATCGTCGGAAATAATTACCACGTTTTCTTTATTTTAACTGTCATGTTATAATTTACCTGGCCCATTATGTTTTGTTTCAGCATATTTCAGATTTTATTTATAAACATATCTACAAAGCTCGCTAAATATTTTACGTTAATCAATAAAGTGAAAAAATTGATGTTTTTTCCTGTCCATATAGCTTGCAGGTGTAAATACCGGATATTATTTCCAGATTCAGTTAATATTTAATGTTGACCGATTGTCGTTGCTGAAAATCAATGAATATTAATAAATGTAGTCTATAGGATTTCTCGTACGCTGTTTATAATCATACCTGGGTTTAAAGTTACCACAGGGGAACATCGTTCGTACCTGTTCGATTTTTGACTAAGGATCAATACAGTATTAAGATAAGAAGAAAAGGTGATATCGCCTGTGTATATTACTACGATAGAGAACTCGACTCAGCATTAAGCAATATTAAAGTAAAGGTTCCCGCTGATTTTCATGAATATTTCCAATATTTAGAAGATATTAAGCCTAGCGGTTATTTTTCTACTGTCAACGAAGTTCAGAATAGCACAGTTTCACATCCTCAATACTCCTGGAGTAACGCCCACTTACGCTCTTTGCACAGAGCGTAGGTGAGCGTGACCCTGGAGTATTCAGGATGCCAGCTTCAGAATAATATAAGTTACATACTGAAATTGGCCTTATATATGTTGTATTTAGTCATTATTCAATTGTATGTGCAGACAGAGTCAAATCGAATTTAGACAATGAACTCTATCGGTTGTTTGAACTGTTCGCAGGTGTTCTATCAGCCCTGTACGCCAGTGAGCTTTTAGCTAAGAACATGTCAAACCCATACACGGTTGTAAGCTTACAGCCAAGAACATGACAAACCCATGTACGGCTCTAAGCATACAGCCAAGAACATTACAAACCCATGTACGGTTATAAGCTTACAGCCAAGAACATGACAAATCCATGTACGGTTATAAGCTTACGGCCAAGAACATGACAAACCCACGCACGGCTGTAAGCTTACAGCCAAGAACATGACAAACCCATGCACGGTTGTAAACTGACAGCCAAGAACATGACAAACCCATGTACGGTTGTAAGCTTACAGCCAAGAACATGACAAACCCATGTACGGTTGTAAACTGACAGCCAAGAACATGACAAACCCATGTACGGTTATACGCTTACGACCAAGAACATGACAAACCCATGTACGGTTTTAAACTTACAGCCAAGAACATGACAAATCCATGCACGGTTGTAAGCTTACAGTCAAGAACATGACAAACCCATGCACGGTTGTAAGCTTAAGGCCAAGAACATGACAAACCCATGTACGGTTGTAAGCTTACAGCCAAGAACATGACAAACCCATGTACGGTTATAAGCTTACAGCCAAGAACATGACAAACCCATGCACGGTTGTTAGTTTACAGCCAAGAACATGACAAACCCATGCACGGCTGTAAGCTTACAGCCAAGAACATGACAAACCCATGCACGGTTGTAAACTGACAGTCGAGAACATGACAAACCCATGCACGGCTGTAAGCTTACAGCCAAGAACATGACAAACCCATGCACGGTTGTAAACTGACAGCCAAGAACATGACAAACCCATGCACGGCTGTAAGCTTACAGCCAAGAACATGACAAACCCATGCACGGTTGTAAACTGACAGTCGAGAACATGACAAACCCATGCACGGCTGTAAGCTTACAGCCAAGAACATGACAAACCCATGCACGGTTGTAAACTGACAGCCAAGAACATGACAAACCCATGCACGGTTGTAAACTGACAGTCAAGAACATGACAAACCCATGTACGGCTGTAAGCTTAAGGCAAAGAACATGACAAACCCATGTACGATTGCAAGATTACAGCCAAGAACATGACAAACCCATGTACGGCTGTAAGCATACAGCCAAGAACATGACAAACCCATGCACGGCTGTAAGCTTACAACAAAGAACATGACAAATCCATGCACGGTTGTAAGCTTACAGTCAATAACATGACAAACCCATGCACGGTTGTAAGCTTAAGGCCAAGAACATGACAAACCCATGTACGGTTGTTAGTTTACAGCCAAGAACATGACAAACCCATGCACGGCCGTAAGCTTACAGCCAAGAACATGACAAATCCATGCACGGTTGTAAGCTTACAGTCAAGAACATGACAAACCCATGCACGGTTGTAAGCTTAAGGCCAAGAACATGACAAACCCATGTACGGTTGTAAGCTTACAGCCAAGAACATGACAAACCCATGTACGGTTATAAGCTTACAGCCAAGAACATGACAAACCCATGCACGGTTGTTAGTTTACAGCCAAGAACATGACAAACCCATGCACGGCTGTAAGCTTACAGCCAAGAACATGACAAACCCATGCACGGTTGTAAGCTTACAGCCAAGAACATGACAAACCCATGCACGGTTGTAAGCTTACAGCCAAGAACATGACAAACCCATGCACGGTTGTAAGCTTACAGCCAAGAACATGACAAACCCATGCACGGTTGTAAGCTTACAGCCAAGAACATGACAAACCCATGCACGGTTGTAAGCTTACAGCCAAGAACATGACAAACCCATGCACGGTTGTAAGCTTACAGCCAAGAACATGACAAACCCATGCACGGTTGTAAGCTTACAGCCAAGAACATGACAAACCCATGCACGGTTGTAAGCTTACAGCCAAGAACATGACAAACCCATGCACGGTTGTAAGCTTACAGCCAAGAACATGACAAACCCATGCACGGTTGTAAGCTTACAGCCAAGAACATGACAAACCCATGCACGGTTGTAAGCTTACAGCCAAGAACATGACAAACCCATGCACGGTTGTAAGCTTACAGCCAAGAACATGACAAACCCATGCACGGCTGTAAGCTTACAGCCAAGAACATGACAAACCCATGCACGGTTGTAAACTGACAGTCGAGAACATGACAAACCCATGCACGGCTGTAAGCTTACAGCCAAGAACATGACAAACCCATGCACGGTTTTAAACTGACAGCCAAGAACATGACAAACCCATGCACGGTTTTAAACTGACAGCCAAGATCATGACGAACCCATGCACGGTTTTAAACTGACAGCCAAGAACATGACAAACCCATGTTTGCAGTTTAGCCGCATCAAGAATTTAACCAAATCATATGTCGGTTAAACTTAACAACCGAGAAATGTTCACAACCTTGTACGATGGTAAGCTTATATCATATACTGGTGGATTTTAAGCGTTTCAAACAAAAAGCGATTGCTTCATAGTACCATACTAATTTTGTTGAGACGTTTTAGAGGATAGCATCAACCTCAGCCCCCCTCCCCCCACTCCTCGTGATGTTATATACTAGGTCCAAACCTACGTGCGGTTATTGTTTCCCAGGTAGCTATGCACGCTGTAACATCCGTTTTTAATGCATTTTAACAAAAACTACATCTGACATAAGTCAATAGAGCTTATGATACAGAACATCAATGGGAAACTCTTGTTGGTTTTAGTGCGGGTTTTGTTCAACTCTGTATATTATTTCAATTAGCAGCTACCGTTCTGAATACACATACCTGAAAGTCCAATCAGCAACATTCAGGTTTTTAATTATCCGAAAATATCATATGTTAAACCTTTAAAATCAGACGCGTGACATATACAACTGATCAAACACATGTCATTAGTGTCACTTACACTAGTAATCATGTATTATACATCACTGATAATGCAAATACCACTGTTATCATTTATATTTCATAAATATGATGAGTATAATTGTTCATACACATGTCAAAAGTGCGACATATACCAATAATAATAAATATTTCATAAGTTTTAATGAAGTTTTAATCGATCTGGTCCGGATCGATCGCTTGTGAACAGCGACCAGGTTATTCGTGGGGGCCTAGTCGTCTGACCGTCTACGAATACTACCTCTCCACCACTGGGTTGCGGGTTCGAGGCTTGCGTGGGTTTGGTTGGGTTTTAGTATTGTTTAATGTCCTATCAACAGCTATGGTCATTTAAGGACGGCCTCCCCTGTGTGCAAGATACATGCGTGTAGTGTATGCGTGTGCGTTTTGGGAGGCTGCGATATGTTCGTGATTGTCTCCTTGTGATAGCGCGCAACTGTTGCCGACTTTATAGTGCTACCTCACTCCAGCAGGACACCTCACCCGGTCACATTATACTGACAACGGGCGAACCAGTCGGCTTGCGTGGGGCAGTCTCAAGGTACTTGCCGCACTCCAGTTTTCTGCCATCACCAAAAACCGGGCATGTCTTTAAGACTTGGAAAAAGGAAGGGGAAATATAGTTGAACCGGACTGGGTCGATTGCCGGCGCCGGCGACTGGGTTGCTGATTTGGTAAGAGCGTCCGTCTAGAGTTTGGAGGTCATTGGCTCGAATCCAGGTCTGGCCGTTCATTTTTTCTCTCCGGTTACAATATACCTAATATAATCATACATGAAAGAATTGTAACATATACAGAACTCTGATCATTC